ATAAAGGATTCAGTCCCTCTAAATCCATTCTTTCCGAGAGCCTACTCTGCTCTGATTGGTCGAATGACCCAGTCTGTTGTGATTGGTCTACTCTGCTCTGATTGGTCAGATGGCCCAGTCTGTTGTGATTGGTCTACTCTGCTCTGATTGGTCGAATGACCCAGTCTGTTGTGATTGGTCTACTCTGCTCTGATTGGTCAGATGACCCAGTCTGTTGTGATTGGTCTACTCTACTCTGATTGGTCAGATGACCCAGTCTGTTGTGATTGGTCTACTCTGCTCTGATTGGTCGAATGACCCAGTCTGTTGTGATTGGTCTACTCTGCTCTGATTGGTCAGATGACCCAGTCTGTTGTGATTGGTCTACTCTGCTCTGATTGGTCAGATAACCCAGTCTGTTGTGATTGGTCTACTCTGCTCTGATTGGTCGAATGACCCAGTCGGTTGTGATTGGTCTACTCTGCTCTGATTGGTCAGATGGCCCAGTCTGTTGTGATTGGTCTACTCTACTCTGACTGGTCAGATGGCCAAGTCTGCTGTGATTGGTCTACTCTGCTCTGATTGGTCAAAACAGCGTCTTCTCACCATGTCAACGACACGAACCAAACTGTTCTAGACCTCAGCTAAAACTACAGTGTTTGAGGGTCAATGTAGACGTTGTTCACGGGCAGCCAATAAAGACCATTGGCTGGCATTATGCAAATTTGTTACAAACCTGCTTAGGTTCAGCAGGAAATAAGACTGCGGAACTGACCACTCATTTCAGATTTGGTACAGATTCGGTTCTTTCTTTTGGGAGGAACTCCATTTATCTGCTCTTTGATCTTTGAAGCATTGAACCTTTTACATTCACAAACAGCTATATTACACACTACATGAAAGGTCATATCTGAAAAAGCATAATAGGAGCACTTTAAATACACCCAGTGAGACAGACAGACAAATATGTTTTTGTTCAATGGTGTTTTAATTACACACCAATTAAAAACAAGCTTCAAACTTTTGACCCAGTGTCTGAGGCTCAGACTAAATTTAGTTCAAGTGCTTCAGTAGCTCAACGTTTGCTTAATACAAAATGATTTTTAGCATTTCAACATTTATTTCAGTGTATACAAATGTTTGGAATAAGAGCTGTCCCTTGTTCAATGGGTTTTATTTTTATTTTACAAGCCCAAAATATCCTATTTTACAGTAGGATAACTACAGTAGCATTTACAACAAACAGATTAAAAATAATTCCCTCTCAAAATCCCCTTCATCTCGTGTGAACTCTAGATGATAAACTAAAGATACATCAAGACTTAAAGTAGAGAAAAGACATGATGAGGAGGAATAGTCAAAATGGATCACACATGAGACCAAAAAAGACAGAGGGAAGAGAGAAAATAAGAGCGAGCATGTGGGGAGGTTGAGATTTGCGTGGGATGGAAGACGGCTGAGCTCCCGCCTTTACAGCACGTGTATAATTTGAGATTTGTACCTTTCGCCCACAGTCCACCTGGTTTTGCGCTCGTTTGTGCGTGCCATGCCACTTACACAAGCTGGAGCCGTAGTACAGGACTCAGATGAAATCTACAACAAGTTTTGATTCACTTCAGACTGAAATGTTTAAAAAATGGATGGGTTTATTCATTTTTGAATAGATGGAAACAAACGAATCCACCAGATACTTGTCATTATAATGGGGTTTTGTTCAAATGAAGTGGTGTATGGATATCTGAGAGTTAGTGTAGGCTTGTTTTTTGAATTTTGATTTTAAAAGCCCTCAGGATGAAGCTTCCCTCAGGTTCACATCACAGATGTGCCGAGTCATGCGCCAGCGAAATCTGCAAGGCCTGCATAAAAGCTTCCTTTATTCCCGCTGCTCAGGCTTTTAGGACTGGCACCCGTCCCAGTTTCATCCACTCTGCATCTGGTTTATTTAGGACACAACTGCGGAAGGGCATGAGAAGAACTTCATCTCCATTGGCTTATTTCATCAAGATGTAAATACATCATGCTTCCCCAACACCACATTGATTTGATTGGTTTTACCGTCGCATCCAGCAACAATAAGATTAAGTTAAGAACAAAAATTCTGTTGTTATTTACTCTCCCTGGATACTATACACTCACCTACAGGATTATTAGGAAAACCTGTTCAATTTCTCATTAATGCAATTATCTAATCAACCAATCACATGGCAGTTGCTTCAATGCATTTAGGGGTGTGGTCCTGGTCAAGAGAATCTCCTGAACTCCAAACTGAATGTCAGAATGGGAAAGAAAGGTGATTTAAGCAATTTTGAGCGTGGCATGGTTGTTGGTGCCAGACGGGCCGGTCTGAGTATTTCACAATCTGCTCAATTACTGGGATTTTCACACACAAACATTTCTAGGGTTTACAAAGAATGGTGTGAAAAGGGAAAAACATCCAGTATGCGGCAGTCCTGTGGGCGAAAATGCCTTGTTGATGCTAGAGGTCAGAGGAGAATGGGCCAACTGATTCAAGCTGATAGAAGAGCAACTTTTAAATATCCACTCGTTACAACCGAGGTATGCAGCAAAGCATTTGTGAAGCCACAACACGCACAACCTTGAGGCGGATGGGCTACAACAGCAGAAGACCCCACCGGGTACCACTCATCTCCACTACAAATAGGAAAAAGAGGCTACAATTTGCAAGAGCTCACCAAAATTGGACAGTTGAAGACTGGAAAAATGTTGCCTGGTCTGATGAGTCTCGATTTCTGTTGAGACATTCAGATGGTAGAGTCAGAATTTGGCGTAAACAGAATGAGAACATGGAACCATCATGCCTTGTTACCACTGTGCAGGCTGGTGGTGGTGGGGTAATGGTGTGGGGGATGTTTTCTTGGCACACTTTAGGCCCCTTAGTGCCAATTGGGCATCGTTTAAATGCCACGGCCTACCTGAGCATTGTTTCTGACCATGTCCATCCCTTTATGGCCACCATGTACCCATCCTCTGATGGCTACTTCCAGCAGGATAATGTCACAAAGCTCGAATAATTTCAAATTGGTTTCTTGAACATGACAATGAGTTCACTGTACTAAAATGGCCTCCACAGTCACCAGATCTCAACCCAATAGAGCATCTTTGGGATGTGGTGGAACGGGAGCTTCGTGCCCTGGATGTGCATCCCACAAATCTCCATCAACTGCAAGATGCTATCCTATCAATATGGGCCAGCATTTCTAAAGATTGCTTTTAGCACCTTGTTGAATCAATGCCACGTAGAATTAAGGCAGTTCTGAAGGCGAAAGGGGGTCAAACACAGTATTAGTATGGTGTTCCTAATAATCCTCTAGGTGATTGTACATGCTTTGGGGGAGGGAAAGGACATGAGTGAAAACAACTGACTTAAATTTGACTTAATATGACAAGTACTGCATAACAATCCTTCAATAATTTCTTCTTTTGTGTTCCATGGATAAAATGGCATACAGATTTGTAATGACGTGATCAATTTTTAATTTGAGTAAATCACAGGGACTGATTATTGAGACACAGGACACAAGATGTTCCGCAATTTTACCTGCCATTAAGTTTATAAAGAGCAAGTTTATACTAAAATACTCTTAACATAAATTTGCTGTTTTATCTTTTTAGCAGATTTTAGGGGACAAGCACATTAGGTGCTGGAACCCTCTTTTTTGTGTGTGTGTATAAATATATATAACTACTGAGGCAATCTACTGAGGCAACGATTGTACAGTCTTATTAAAATAACATTGCTATTATAAATGCTTACTTTTTTTCTTGTATCTCATGGGAACCTTATGGAATTGATTAAAATCCTTGATTTTTGCCAAATCTATTGGTTGTCAAATAACTGCCCAAATTATTGCCGCTTGCAGGCTTTACTTTACTTTTCTTTTCTTTTTTACTATATTATATCAGTGTAACTTTGAGTTATGGTTTGAGAACAGCTGGTGTTATAGCCTAAATCTTTTATTTGAATCTTACTTTGAATATAAAGTTTAAAATTAATTGTTCACATGAATATTGATTGAGTTCAACAATGTCACAAAATCTCTTTTTATATCATTTTATATAATGGACTGTTTGCACTGAGCTTCATGATGTATTTCCGACTTGAAATAATGCCATTGTTCCTGAAACTCATTTTAAAATGAGTGTTTGGAAGAAGATTTTACAGTCTTTTGAAAGTTTCACACCCATCAGGCAATGCCGTCAGTCGGCTTAGTTTTTAGTGTTTGTTCTGCACCGTTGGCTGTAGTCGGACGGCGTCTGGGTTTTTTGGGCCGATTCAGCATGTTGAATCGGCATCGGGCCATCGGTGAGAGAGAGAACTGTGATTGGCTGTTCAGCTTAGCGAACGAGTCAGTGCACGAGAATAAAAGCGAAAGTGATGAAAGCGAGCAAAGAAGTCCAGTGCAGTTGTTGGAATGCATCTTTATGTATTCTCAGTTCATTCTTAAAGTAGTAGCTTTGACTCTTCAGCATACGTAATACATATTTGACATGGATAAGCTGGCTCAGATAGTGTGATAGCAAGGAATTTGTTTGTGTGTGTGTGAAAATGGAAGCAGTTGGTTGAATATCTGAACTTGTTTGACAGATTTAATCCAAAACTAACCATGTGTTGCACTACTGTACCCTGTCTTGTCCCGTATCTCGAGAATCATTGAAGATTTCAGATCTCTCCAGTGACTGATATGCTGTCTGTTTATCAGTCAGACTCACCACCATTCACATTCACAGCCGTCTATTAGGACCGAGTAACTGACTGATGACCGTTTTTGCAGCTGCTCTTAAGGAGATTTTGGCAGCGATTAAGGAAACCTGATATCAGACAGAATGAAAGTGCATCTTCGTCCCTGAGCGTCCATCAGCGCTTCCTCACTGCAGCTATTAGTCTGTCATTACCCCTGTTATTGCAGCAGGGGGGACGGGCCGTTTGGCACTGGCGCAGTGATCTGGCACTCTCTAGTTTCTTCTCAATACTTATCCTTCCTGTTTTTGTCTCTTTTCAGCAAGCTGCCCAGCTGGGCCAGAGCAGTGGTGCCCAAAATCTTCTATGTGACGGAGAAAGCTTGGAATTACTATCCCTACACCATCACCGGTAACTACAGCTGCTTACTCTCAGGCATACTTCCCTGTTGTAATTGCCTGACATCTTATGATACTGTGGCAGTAACACACTTTAAAGGGGTCCTATTATGCTTTTACACCTTTTCAACTTTAGTTAGTGCGTAATGTTGCTGTTTGAGCATAAGATCTGCAAGGTTACAAAGCTCAAAGTCCACTCCAAAGGGAAGATATTTTATTGAACTGAATCCCCTTTTCAAGAACTACAACAAATCTTATGAAGTCACAATGTTACTCATTTAAATAATCTCCATCACAGCATTTCCAGAACTCATTTGTTTGACCTAAGGTTGATGAACTTGGTGGTTAAAATGTATTTTAAACACTGTTCCTGAACATTATAACCTCAACGTTTATGTGTGCACAGCACATTTTATGGAGAACAGCTCCTTAGGAAAATTAACCATGGTTTTGTGATCGATTACTGTTTGTATTACCTTAGTTTTCCCACAAATATCACTATTAAATGGTGGATAATATTGTATCTATAATGTATAAGAAAATTACAAAAAAAACATACCAATCTGAAACATCCCGTGAAATCCGTACTTGCAAAGTCTTTGTACGAAATCCGTTCTGGACAATCCTCTTGTTCGTTAACATTGTCAGGGTCTGAATCAGGCTCGAATTAGTTTGATATTGGCACCATCCTTATTCATATTTACACAAGAGAACAACTTGCAGTTTTGGAGGGGCGGAACATTTCCTTAAAACACGCGCTAAGAGCTGCCAATCACAACGCACTGGGACAGCTAACCAATCACGGCACATTTTATATTTCGGAAGGACTTCATTGAAATCGGCATGTTCATGGTTTCAATTTTGAAAAATCAAGCATGAAAACATTCTAATACACCCCAAAAACTAAATCAAGACTTCGTAAAAAGACATAATAGGACCCCTTTAACCAACTTTATCAAGATGCTGTTCATACTGTTGTTCTGTCATTACAGTAATTGAAGAGAAAAGTGGCCATATGAGACTACTTTTAATTTGATTTATGTTAAGTAATTTTACATGAGCAAGTGTGAGTGCTTAAACTGAGGAAAGGGTTCAGTGTGGTTCTATATAGAACCCTAGGGTTCTTGACTCCGTTTTAAAGAACCCTTTATGTTAAAAAGTATCATTATAAGGAGAAATGTCTTAAATGATTGCGTAATACTTTGATGTTTAATGGGTTGTTTGTTTATTTTTTCTTGTAATAAAGTATGTGTACGAGTGGTTTACTTCATTAAATTTCATTAAAAAATAAAAATGAGTTCAAACTAAATTAATTCAAAATAAATCCATATAATTATCCCAAGATGGGAACCCCTAAAAGGTTCTAGATATGAAGCGCCTGACATAACCCTTTAAGGTTTTATAGAATCTATTCTTCGAAGATTGAGCTGAATATACAATGCAAGTATATTCCATTTATACAACAGTTCATATTTTATAACAGTTCATAAGTTAATATTGAGAAACTAACATTTCAGACTAAATTTTGTCCAGTTTGTATAAAAGTGTGTTAATTGGATCAAGCTGAAAAACATGGGACACATTTAATGAAAAATATTACTACTGTGAATTTAAATTAATAGTTATAATTAAATATCATTTCAGTAGATTGTCAAATTGTTGGATACAGTCAAGAAAGGTGGGACAGAATTGCAATTTTAAGAGGGAGATACGATATTGGATGTTTTTAAAACTGCCTTTATAGGTTCATTTTTAATAGATAGAGTTTATCTAATAGTTCTCACTATAAATAACATCTGATTTGTCTCAAATGCTTTAAGTAAACCTATTTTTGTAAAGTGCTACCGTGAATAGGTTTTTGAATGTGAACAGGTTTTCAAAAGGAGTTATTCTTTATAAAATGTTAATACTAATTTAATCATGATAAGTCTCTGAATAGTTTTAGCATTTAAATGAACATGGCAATGTTCGTGTATTTGGCCTTGGTGGGCTAGATCTGATTTCCATGCTGCTACTGCTGATGGATACACACACACACACACACACACACACACACTGCTGTGAGCATGTAAGATGCATGTTAAGCTGCTGTATAAATCGATAAATCCCGTAGCAGATATTGGCGGTGGAGCTGGGGAGGTGGAGGGGTTCAATCTGGTTCAGTGTTCGCTCTAGGCCAGTCAATTTAAATGTTGAACAAGCAATCTCATTGGATGCTGAATCAGCAGAGGCCAATCAGCTTGAGCCATTCAGTAAATAGTGTGTTTGCTTTCCAATCGCATGTAAATGACCGATCAGCTTCAGTTTCATGACTGAACTAGATATTTATTTCACAGTCAAACCCATATAAATCTTAAATATTTGTATAACCTTCTTCTTCAATGGTCAGACTAAGCTCACTCAAGCACACGTATATATGTATGATGTACTGAATGTCTGTGAATCAAAGTAAGTATTGACAAGATTTTAATTAATAGGTCAATTAGTCCTTTAGGCGTCTTATTTGTATACAAACATCTGTTAAATGTTTTTAAAAAGCAGATATATAGTCTAAATCTTAAACGTGACATGCAATTGCTGAATGCCATCCTAAGCTTCGTCAGGGGCATTTCTTTGACATAATGTATAGGAGCAATTATTGAGCAAATGCTTTAGAAACGACACCAAATAAAAAGGAGCGTAACACTGACATATCAGAGATGAATATGTGCACACACACATTCAGTGCAGAAAGAGAGCTTAATTTCCCCTGAAGAACTGCAGCTCTTTCTGTGATTGAATGTTTGATGACTGTCATGTGTTTATTGCCTGGACCATGGCCTTTAACATGAAGTCTCTCTCTCTCTCTTTCTCTGTGTGTGTTTGTGTCTCTCTCCCGGTCTGTTTCCTCCCCCACCGCTGGCTCTCAGAGTATACAGTGAGTATGACTACTACTACTACTTTTATTTGTGTGCCTGCAGCTGAAACTCAGAATGTCAGAGGAAATGAACATGCTGTTGAACACACTAAGTTGCACTAAAAAAATGGCTTTATGCATTTTATGATTAATACGAGTAAATGATGTTTGCGTCAAGCCAGTTGTGAGTCGAGTCTGTGTTCGTTTCACATGAATGGAGTGTAGAGTTTCTATTAAGAGTGTTCACAATCACTCGCATTTCTATTTCAGGTTCTGTTTCAATCATCTTGTCTATGTAGGCCGCACACATCAAGCTCGCTAGGTTCTGGAACAGAGCTACAGTGTCTGTCAGCTGATTCCCCTTAGCCAGTAGCCACCAACCATGTTGTAATGCTATCCCAGAATGCACCGTTCTTGTTTTCTGTTGCTGTGCTGTAATATAATTAGTGTATTGGAAAACCTTGCAGACCAGGTGTCTTCAAGCTCCTTGGAGACCATATTAGGTTTCATGGAAAACCTTGTGCTTATTCGAAAGAGCAATATATACATTTTAACAACTCAGGACTCCTCTGAGCCTTATGAATATGGTGAAGGTTTAAAGGTTTTGGGATCTTAGGGGTCATTCACACAGAATGCTTTTTTTTTTTTGCATTTAAAAAAAGCAGGGCAGTGGAATAGGAGAAAAACGTGTTGAAAAGTTGAACTTCTTTAACGAATGGCATGTCAAAAGACATGGGATGTGAGCGCAACCGTCTAAGACATCCATCTCGTGCATGTTTAACCCTCATTCTTCTCTTGGGGAATTTTGAATTTGAAAAAAATGAGTGTTCATCAGAGGGGTCCAAGACCCTAGGACGTTTGTCGCACTTTTTTGAATAAATTGAAAAAAATTGAATGGATTCGAGGAGTTTTGTGGTTGAAATTTTAAAAAGTAACACATCCTTCTCTCACGGGTCAATTTGACCCCCTTAGGAATGAATGGAATGCGAGGAACGCTTCAGTACACATAGAAAAACATAAAAATGCTCAAAATTCAAACCAAAATGTTTTATAATGTCTACATGTGTGTCTGAATGCATACTGAATGAATTGACTTTAGGACCCAGTGGAACAGCTCATTTGCTCCATATAGAGCTATAAGGCCATTTAGTGGCTTGAGTCATGAAATATCAAATATAAGAATATATGTATATATATTTTTTTTTCACAAGAGGTCGGCAAAGACACCCAATGTAAGATATTTTGAGCTGAATTAAAAGGGTTATGCATTAAATAATTTTGATGTTTAAGTTGAAAGAACGTGAGGAATGTGCTTAAATGACTATTTATTTATTATTTATTGATGAAATCTAGTAATTTACAGGTAAATAAAAGAAAAAATAAGAAAAAATTTCCCCAAAAAAGCATTAGAAAATAGAAAAAATATTAGCAAAATGAAATAAAATAAGCTTTATGTTAAAAAAAAATTAAGTATAATTTTTGGGCTTCGGGTCATTTTGACCCGCGAGGGAAAGATTAAAGTTAAAATGGAAAAACTATGGAAAATGAGCCATAGACTTTCGTCACGTGTTATGTAAAAAGGGCTTTCTCCTTCTAGACAGAAGGAAAGCTGTAGCTACAATCATCCAATTGGTGTTTCCGTCTGCATACACTCAAAAAATATTTAGGCCTAAATGTAAGATTTATTTAATTGAAGTGCATATATAACACGACGGGCTGGTTTAAATGAGCGGTGGAGATGTGTGGAGGATTAAGGCTTAACTTAAGATGGATGACAGTCTGAATCTCAGTGTGTCTCCACGCGTTGTATCTGTACCTAGAGATGAATGAGAGAGCTCTTCATCAGAATACCATTATCATAATCAACCATATGCCAGGAAACAACAGGATACAAACCGCTCAAATGAGAACAGTGGAAGACGAGAAAGGCCCAAAGGATGTAAAAATGAGCACAAAATGGAAACAGACTACAATCACTTTTTCCACATTAGGCTGTTTGAGCAGCTTTGAAATGCACTCATTGGCTGAGTGATTATGGAGAGAAAAATACATTTACATTTTCCCTTGACATCTTGAATGAGGTTTTATGTCACTGTGCTAAGGAAAGTGCAGTGAACATCAAAGTTTTAATCTTTTATTTTATTCGTCGCTAATTTAATAGAGTGCAGCAGTAGAGAAGTACAAACCTAATTCATTTTCGTCATAGAGATATTGATTTTTAGCAGTAACATAAACCTTTCGAGACGACCAGCCATGAGCTCAGAGGTTGTTAATTCATGGTATGTGCTTCTGTTGAAGCCATGAGTAAGCACAATTTTAACAATAAAACAAATGACACAATTGCCAGTTAAGAACTACACTACCCATAATCCTGTAGAGAGATTCACCAATCAGAGAACTCGCTGAATGTGATCAAGTTGTACACTCTCAAACTACTTATATGTATCTAATTACTTTGCAATAAACGGCTATGGTTCAATAGTTCATTCAGTTATGTTATTCACAATTTTTTCCACTATATTTCTAAAACTTTTTTTCTTCAGATCAAACTTTGTAATGTTTTATTTGAGCTGGTTGGTTTGGTTCATGTCTTTACTGCTGACAAGACTTTAATGGAGAATTGTTTCAAATCTCCTTGGAGAAAATAAATGGCAGAAAAATACTGCTGGCACCCAGGCTGCAGAAAACATGCTCACTGCTCTCTACTGCCAAACAAAGACACTTGCAAGATATTCCCTTTACACTAACTTCATTTTATTAGGATACATTCAGTAACCCATCATTCTTGGAATCTCTATGATGTCTTTTAATGTAGTGCGTGTGTGCTGAGGATACAGTGGATTAAAGTATAAAACAGACCAAACTGTTTAAAAATGCACTTTCAAATTTAGCTTTTAAAATATATCAAAAAGGACTAATTCTGCTTTTTTACATGTTCAGCTGTCTTTGGTGTGTAAAGTTGCTGTTTGAATATGAAAAAGGTCTGCAAAGTCCCTCCAGCGGGAGTTATTCTTTATATCAGTGTCACTGTTTCTGAACTCCCTGAAACGCCTCCATTGTAGTCTTGAATGAACACGTCACAAAATATTCCCCATTTAAATAATTCCCGCCCAAAGCATATATGCAAAGTAAAGAGGCGGGGCCTGGTTGAGTTAGTACTGTGTTAAAACTGGTGGTTATGTTAAGGTGCGGGATATTTCCCAAACATACTCGAAGCGGTTGACCAATCACAACACACTGATCCAGCCGACCAATCAGAGCACAGTGTTTTCAGAAGGAGGGGCTTCATAGAGACGGGAACTAAACAGAGCGTTTCTGACAGACTGAGGGGAGAGGAGCTGCAACAATGGAGAATATGAGAAATATAATGTGTGTTATTGAACATTCAAGCTTGAAAACCTGTTCTAGAGCCCAAAAACAACATCAAGACTTTGAAAAAGAGCCTTTTTAACTTTAAATGTTATATCAAATAACACACTACAGTTAAAATTATAATCAAGTACTTCAACATGTAGTTTAGTTTGTTAGTCAACACATCAAAATAAGTTCTTCTTTAAAACCTGAAAATAGATAATTAAAATATAATGATTTAAAAATGTACTTTAAAGTAAAACTTTTAGAATGTGCACTTTGTAATGTCAAATTAAAAGTCTACTCAACTGTGTTAAGAAACATAGTCATGAATGTGTCTCTCTTAAGGCCACTTAAAGGGATACTCATACTCATTTTACAACTCCCCCAAAGTTAAACTGTTGAGTATTACCGTTTTTGAATCCATTCAGCCGATCTCCGGTTCTGGCGGTACCACTTTTAGCATAGCTTAGCATACATCATTGAAGTGGACAAGACCATTACCATTTCTAAAAAAAAATATGACCAAAGAGTTTCGATATTTTTCCTATTTAAAACTTGACTCTTCTGTAGTTACATTGTACACTAAGACCGACGGAAAATGTAAAGTTGCGATTTTCTAGGCTGATATGGCTAGGAACTATACTCTCATTCCTGTGTAATAATCAAGAAACTTTACTGCCGTACCATGAGTGCAGCAGGCGTAATGATATGACGCAGCACCTGAAAATAGGTCACGTTGGAACTTACCGAGCTGGGGACTATTTTCAGGCGCCAAAAACAACATCAAGACTTTGAAAAAGAGCCTTTTTAACTTTAAATGTTATATCAAATAACACACTACAGTTAAAATTATAATCAAGTACTTCAACATGTAGTTTAGTTTGCACTTTTTACAAAAAAAGTGGAGTATCCCTTTAAGTGGCCTTTTATTTTATTAATATTATATTATCTGCAAGTACAGCTTTTACAAATATACTTTTAAAACTGGAAGTACACTACAAGTGCACATTCAATAAATTTAATGCATGAATGTTTTCCACAAACTATTATTACATATTCGGGTCTTTAGAGACCCGGATCTATATCTAACACTGATGGATCTCTACCTGTCACGGTAATATAAAACTCTCCTGATATTTTAATAACAATTTAAACTATTAAATAATTAAATAAAGAACATTTTGTTAACCTTCGGAGCTTGGAAGGGTTCAGTTTGAGCAGATGTTATATCCTCCTGGGACCCAAGAATAGACTTTTGTCCACTGTAGTGGACATTATATTTTAGTGAATTTCTCTGACATCATACATGTCACATGACACAACCTGGGTGTCCTGTAAAGAGCACATTCAGGACTTTTCAGAGATACCAAATGTTTGGAGGTTTCACCATGAAAACAACTTCTCCTTGGTCTTTAAAAATGTCTGACATTAATTTAGTGATCAAATGTAGCATTCTTATGGAAATATGATAATATAGTGTAATTATAATATAAATTGGACCACTTTTCAAATTGTATTTCATAAAACAACATCTCAGGAAAATGTTAAGGGGTTTAAAAAAACAACAACTTTCTGTTACAGAACAGGGCATTGATTTCAAACGTGTCCACTGTAGAGGACATCAGGACTAAAATCATGTTTATCAGGCATTCTGGGAGACACAACAAGTGAATATGGAAATAAATTATACATCAATATTCCTATGAAATGTTAGATATTATTATTAAAATGTTGCCAATTATTACTCCAATTATTACCCTTTATTCTTTCATTAAATGTTGCTCCCAGAACACATTAATGTGCAAATTAGATACAGTGTATAGATACATTGCATTGAATGGGAATATTAACTTATGGCCATTTTACCCACATATTGCAAAAAGTAAAATGGTGTATCAATTCATTCCATTATTTCTTTCATAACATAGTTGAGAATAATCTTTATACAAATTTTGGTTGAAAAAATCCTGAAACCCCAAAATGTATTGGTGATTGAAAAAAAAATCCCATTGTTTTTGCCTATACATATAATTTCATGTCATTTTATTTTTTAAACAACTTAGTCCTGGCGTCCACTACAGAGGACATAACATAACGTATGAATAAAATATTTTATATATATGTTTTTTTACCATTTGTTTATTGTGCTCTAAACAGTGTGATGACATGGGAAAAAAACTGAATTCAAAAAACTTTTTTTTTGTGGGTCTCAGGAGGATATACCATCATCGCTCTCCTCGTCAGAGCTCATTTCAGCACATCTCAAACATATTCTCAAAACTATAATTTTCAACATCTTCAAAATCAATATTTTGATCGCTGACAGCTTCTTCATCAGATCCACCGTCAGGTGACGGTGACACTAATATTTGAAAGTGTTCAGCACTTGCTCAGCAGTAAATCACGGAGTCATTTCAAGTTTTGCTGATGATATTTCCTATTCTTTTGTTTTCTGCCTGCTGTAACTATGAGTGAAACATCACGTCATCATTGTGTATCAGACATCGCCACCTTGAGAAGTTGCACTTAAGTCATCAGCGACTCAATTATTATTATTGCGCAGAAAAAAATATACTTGCACTATTACATTCCTTGGGTCATTAGCGACCCTTTACACTTTTTACAAAAAAAATGTAGAAAACAGACACTCTGTCATTTTCTTTTCTTCGTATGTTGTTAAAAATGAATAGATTGAGGAATACTAAGAAGGTTGATGTCTAACTTTAAAGAATGGATGAGGGGGAGGGTAATGAATGACGTAGGAATGCGTTTAAGGGTTGAAATGTAGCTAACTACTTTTTCAAAAGAGCTTGACTGTAGTTTAACTACTTGAAATGATGAGTACGGTATCTTGTAGTTAATGTTGCTTGTCCAGGAGCACTAGTATGCAGACAGTAGCCGGCGAAGAGGCATGCTAGGCCGTAACTCTAACGTTGCTTTGGGGGTTTACACCCAAAGGTCTGCACTTCTTCTCTTCTCCTCGATCCTTCGCCCTTCCCCCACTGCAACAGCACTTCCTCCAGCGTTACGTAACTCAGCCTCTATTGATCTCCATAGCGATTGCGGGAGCAATGCTTAATCTAATCAGGCAGCAGTGTGTTGGGTCTCAGAGGGGCTCGTGTGGGGAGGAGAGAGGAGGAGGACAGGGAGGCTGTAACTCCAGCGAGGCAGAAAAGAGCTCATCATTACAGCACAACGCCAGGCTCATAAAACACACTCGTACTGAAGCGTGCAGGAACCGTACACCAGAACTACTGAGAGCAAGCTTGCAGCGTGTTCATGATCGTGGTTTTCTCGTGATCGATGTGGAAAATTAGTTACTCGACTAAATTGAATTAACATTTGCATGTCATTTTCCTGCATAGATGTATTTATACATTGTGTTTGTTTCCCCCCCTACTTGCCTGTTGATTCCTTATATGCAGTGGAAATAAAGTATGCACACTTAAAGGGACAGTTCACCCAAAATTGAAAATATCATAATTTACTCACCATCATGTCGTTCCAAACCTGTATGACTTTCTTTCTTCTGCTGAACTAAAAAGAAGATATTTGGAAGAATATGGGTAACCAAACAGTTGATGGGCCATTTTGATTGATAGTTAGTGTGATTATCTACACCTGTGTGAACTTGAGGAGAACTGACCTCATATATTCACTAGGGGCTGTTTACACGACACCGTTTTCAACTAAAAACGTTAAACTTTTTATGCGTTTTGGCCGTTCGTTTACACGACAACGGCGTTTTGGGTGCCTGAAAACGCAAACTTTTGAAAACGGTGTCCCTTTAAACAACAAAAAACGTCAATCTGTGAAGACGATGACGTCATGCACATGCGTATTACGTGTTCAGTCTATATTGTTTCATTGCCATCTAATGGCCTGCCAGCAGAATACGGGGTTTTTAGTCGTTTTTGCGGATCGTTTTGACAATGGTGTCGTCTGTATACGCGGAAAACTCAAAGGAACAAACGTTTTCGTTTTAAGCAGATCGTTGTAGAGTAAACGTACCCTAAAAATCACAAGAACACCAGCTGATTCAAAGACAACGAGCAAAAAATGATGAAGACGAGTGAAGTTAGTGAAGAGAAAAGCTTGTTTTGCATTTTTGAGAACAGATGACACTTGATTTGACTTGGGTTGGTAAATTTAACTAACTTGTTTTCTCTTCTTTAGTGCTCTTTCCTGCCAAAGTTCTCCATCCACGTTGAGACAAAGTATGAAGACAACAAAGGCGTCAATGACAATGTATGTATACTGCATGTAGTGTGAATGTGTTTGTGTATGGTTATATCTTTTCTGGTCTTTTCTCAATTCTCTTTCGTCTCTAACTCTTTTCTGTAGCGAGAACCGTTGATTTGTTAACTTTGTTTTCCATCAGTTATCTCATTCCACATACATCAACTAGTAAGCCCAGTAGTTTCTCAGGGTCCAGAGTAATTTAATGAAATAAAACGTAATTAAACTTTTTTAGGGTTGTGGGTCTGTCCTTGTTCAAGTATTACTTTAATAAGATTCGGTGTCTGTCTGCTAACGTTACATATTATAAAGCAGTTAAGTGTTTCAAAATCAGTGTATAACTAGCTATTAACATACATATTTTGGAGATTTTACATTGAATTTGACCAAAAAAGTCTGAGTTTGTTTACAGGCAGATTAAATTAGCGTTAACGTTAAATCTGCATGCAGCATTGATGTAATGGTCATTCTAATACTCTTAGTATAACGCTGAAAGTAAGGAGGTTGTTGTTTATCTCCTGTCGTCGCCGATTCGGGGTCTGAGTCCGGCTCCAACATATAAGGCCGGATTACATTTTCCTCGGCAATGTCCATCATTATTACAGGTGTTTTATTTACCTTACGTGTGAGCATCAGCAAGCCACAGCAGGCCACAGCATACATGACCCTAGTTAGCTGTGATTGGCCTAGCCGTGCGTCACTCAGAAAACAACAGGCCAATCAGAAGCGAGGCTCATGGATATTAATCAGACAGGCCAAAATCGACCTGTTCTCAGCAGAGCTCCTGAGAAAGGAGCTGTAAACATAAATTGGGATGGTATACCGCATAAAACTTCAGAAAAGTGTACAATATGGGACCTTTAAAATGAATATTCTGTCATCAGTTACTCACCATCTTTACTTACCAGATCATAGGATGTCACGCACAAATCTCTTATGCATATTCACACACATGGATTTTTGTTTAGTGATTTTTGGTGCTCAACAGCACCTGGTCTCTGCATACTGTTGCAGTTGGGCAGAAACCGAAGTTGATATTGTGGCTTTATTCGGACCAAATGCTTGGATTGAACATTTTTTGGTCCTTAGACTTCCACAAAATATACATGTACATGTTTTAAAGGGGTCATATAATGCCATTTTTGTACAAGCTAGTATGATTCTTTAGGGTCTAAATTAAAAGTTTGTAATATACTTTAATTAAAAATTCTCATTAGTATTGTAAGAAAACACTTGTTTTACTTGGTCAAAAACAGCTCTGTTTTCAGCACGCCGTTTCAGTGCATATGACTTTAAATGATAATGAGCTTTGCTCACCCCGCCTCTCTGTTCTGTGCGTACACCGTTTGTAACACAATAACACAATAACCATAACGCGTTGTTCATTATAAACAGGGGATTTTGAATTATATTGAGAACGTCATACATAGAAAACATGCCGTAATGTACCCTGAGTGTAAACCTTAGACGCATTCATTGTGAAGCGTGCAGCTAGCGATTTGCAAAGATTAATATAAATATTAATATAAAGTTTAATAAAACGTTTCACTCACTTTAGTTCATCTGGAGGTTCAGCAGGAACATGAATAGCTGGTACCGGTCCTTTATTCATGAGCAGCTTCTTAGCAAAACCAGCTCATACTGACCCTCGTTTATAAAGCAGTCTGCTGAGAAATGATTCGCGCAAATATGAAAGCATTGACGTTGCTCGTGGGGAATATTCCCTTCGAAAACAAACTCAGCCACTGCGTCTTCAGCGGTTCGGATTTAGGAACATTAAAATGACTGCTGTGTTCGTTATTACACCCAAGAACAGAACACCACAATCGCTTAGACGCCATTCTGCTCATAGACAGTGCTCCAGCATATCAACAATGACCGCGCTGAACCGCGCAGACTATGATTGACGAGCAAGGCCGGGTCTGTGTTGAAACGCTGCTGTCAATCAACAATCGTGGGAGGGGCTTCCGAGCGTGTGACGTCACAGGCTCGAACGGCTCAATTTGAGACAGGAATACATATAAGGAGATTAAAAAAAAAACACTGGATGGATTTTTATCATTATATGATGGTTGTGTACAGGCACTGCCAACACACATTTCAGTACAATCAACTTGTAAAAGTGCATGTGCCATTATATGACCCCTTTAATATTTAGACCCCTTCTATTATTGATTGCTATCAGAATGGGAAGAGAGTTTCAACCAGTATAGCAGTATGGCCTACCTTTTCATTGGTTAAATATTTGCAAAAACCCACAGACAGATGTAAAGGGTGACCAATACTAATGTTTTATGGAGATAAAACAAGGTTTCCGCCCAACATCGACAACACTTTTCACTGTGTTGAAAAGAGCAGGTTGGACATCTGTCAAGAAACTCATACAGCTTTTAAACAATTCTGTTCATATTTACTGGAACACACACAAGCCAACACTCGCTGGTGATTTCAGATGGGATTCGCCTTGGACAGAGTTCTGTGTGAGTTTGACTTTTTGAAGAAATGCTGGCCTGCAGTCAGTCTGAGACGTCTGTTACTGTCCGTCCGAGCCATTGCTGCCCTGCCAGTGAGTCTCCGCACACATGCTCACTCGCTTAGCAACAATTTCTCTTCGTTTTCTTCCTTTGCTCTTGGCATCGAGCGACACTTTTATCCTCTGCCCCAAATGAGAGCTTTTTAAGATCGCTCACAGGTGGATAGTTCTTCCTCTCCTGTGATCAGTTTGAGGCGTGTGTGTGTGAAGATCTAACATTTGCAAATGACGTGCTTGAACTCGCAGTGATTAAATGTACTGCTGACGGGGTTTTCTGTGTGTTTACTGAGTGATGGGATGGGGCAGTGACAGCCAACATTGTTCCCCAGTATTGCACTACCGAGAATATATCTTGGAATACAGTAAAAAAGAAAAAGGAGACTAGCGATTGATAGCAGACACAATGATTGAATGAGAGTTGAACATGGCTACTGTGAAGGACTACAGGTGAGAGATAACAGAACGCTTCATTCTTTCTGCATCCGTGCTGAGATACCAACACTTCTTTAGTAACTGCGGCTGATGAGCAGGGAATCTCATTTGATTGGCCTTGTCCATGGTGCTGAAATCAACACATGGGGGTCAGCAATGAAAGCAATCCCCAGAGCTTCAGTTTGTATCAGGGTTTCCTGCCTCGTTTCTCTGTATCTTGCACCATTAATCCTTCTACTTTAACAAGATGCCCGGTTCCCGCTGTTTTTGAGGTGTGGGCAGTGTTAGAATGGCTCCATATATCACTTTGAATTTCAGCTAAAAGCCTTTCAGTTTCATCTGACCACAAAATCTTTTCCCACATCACAGATGGATCACCATTATGCATTTCGACCTGATACTAATGTGCTTCCACATGTTTTTTATTTTTTTTTATTTTTTTTTATTTTAAGTAATTGCTTCTGTTGAGCCTCCAGTCCTGTGCAAGCAGTTCTTTTGGTGCAGGTGAAGAAAGGAACATTTATTATTACATTTTGATGAGATTCTGATTTTTTTTTTTTTTTTTGGGATTAATGTGCACCTATATATTGTGCACAATAAACACCAGGAACAAAGTAAATCGAGTTTTAAGCTGGCGTGAGATATTTCTGCACCACTAGTGGATCCAAACAGAACTGGATCTGTGGCAGAGAATTCATAACTGAAGATTGATAACATAATTCATAACAGATTCATTTCTATGTAAATATGCACTAGACATAATTTAAAAAAAAAAAATTTACTTTAGACCTGGCTTTTCCCCCCCATTCCACTCACTATGTTTTGTGTTTTTCAATGCAAAAACATGACCTGGACAGTGGCTATGTTTCCATCCAAAGTTGCGAATTTAATTTATTTCCAAAATTGGAATATATTACATAAAACATTTGAGAATAAAGCACCATTTCCATCTCATGTCTTCAAGAGATGAAATCGTTAAAGTTATTTAATCACATCCACTGTTGAGGCACAGTCACGTGAGTTTTTTTATTATTATTGGACATCGAGGGAATTATTCTGTAAATGTATTTCCATTGTAGTGTCGTCTTATGGGATAACAAATTCTGCATTATTAGAATTTATGCGCATCTTGGCATTTCCATCCAGGGTTTTTTTTTTTATTAATGCAATATTTCATAATGCGCATAATAATATCTGGATGGAAACATAGCTGGTGAAAAACTATCCACCTTATTTTGAACGTAAGAGCGCCACGACCATTTGCAACTTGAATGTGTCTGGCTTTCGGTGGCATTCGCTTGCAGTTATTTTGCTGGACAAAAAAAGTCTGTTATGCTGCTTGATAATGCAAACTTGTATTTCTTTTCAAGTTATTTTATTTTTAACTTATCACTCACTGGTTTGTAGCACAAATAGTTGTATCGTTACTGCACTGTGTTATTTACCTATTTATTTAGCATGCCTCTACCCTTATTAGTCCAGTCATTTTATGAAAAAAGGTTGAACAAATTGCAACAGAAGCAAACTCAACTGATTTTGTATCCTCAATATGTCCTGAGTAAGGAAAAAAAGCCCAGAACAATCCCATTAGGGGAAAGTTTCTAAAAAGACCCAAATATATCCCATTCATACGCCTATTCATTCTGTTTCTCACGTGAATAGGGTAAAAATGTGAACCTTTAGATATCATCATGAAAATTACGGAGTTGATTACTTGCATCAAGACAAACAAAATATGTATTACAAGTTTTTTTTTAATTGTTTGTTAACATGGGCAAACGGTGCATAATCTAATTACGCATGTGCTAATTTGCATAAATAACACAACAGATCGAAAACATTGGGTATAGCAGGTGAAGATGTCTTGTTGAATCTTGTTGACATATAACAGTAAAAGACTTAATGTTAAACCCATTTAGGCTACCCATGAGCATTCATACATAGAGGCAGGAAGAGTACTTTAGAAAGCAGTCTTTATTAATTATTATTGCAGAGATGGGGTTTGGGGCTGGGGCCGTGGGACTGTTTCTGGGGGACGAGTCTGAGGGAAGAACAGGAGACATGGGTAAGGAGAATGCAGAAGACAAAAGGTATAGGTAAAATAAAAAGTGTCTGGATCAAACAATCAAATTAATCCATGAAGGAGAAACAAAAGGAAATCTTTCTTACCCGAGTGACAGTTGAGTGACAGCTGAATGAATGACTGAATCTCTGCCCCTTATGGTGACATTTGTTTGCCTCTATAGTCTTTGACTGTTATATGTCAACAAGATTCAACAAGACATCTTCACCTGGCTATACCCAATGTTTCGATCTGTTGTGTTGTGCAAATTAGCACATAAGTCATTTGATTATGCACCGTTTGCCCATGTTAACAAACAATTTCAAATAACTTGTAATACATTTTTTGTTTGTCTTGATGTAAGTAATCAACTCAGTGATTTTCATGATGATATCTAAAGGTTAAAATGTTTACCCTATTCACGTGAGAAACAGAATGACTAGGCGTATGAATGGGATATATTTGGGTCTTTTTCAAAACTTTCCCCTAATGGGATTCTTCGGGGCTTTTTTTTCCCCCTTACTCAGGACATATTGAGGATACAAAATCAGTTGAGTTTGCTTCTGTTGCAATTTGTTCTAGGGTTGACCCCCATTTTGGCTTAAAATGACTGGACTATATGAATTGGAAGTCTCGCACATTCACCGAAAATAGCTTACTTCCGCATCGGGAAATATCGGAAATAGGGTGGATATGTCCAAAAATATTTTCTACTGTATATGTGCTTGTTGAGAATTCAATTACAGAACCATGGTCGTTTCTTTCCATTTCTATTTTGGGAAGACTTTCCACTAGACGCTGGAAAATGGATGAAGGGATTTCTCCCGTTCGGACACACAAGCAGCGGTGAAGTCAGGCACTAGTGCCGGTGAAGGTGTTCAGTGGGGTCCAGGTGTGGACTTTGTGCAGGCCGGTCAAGTTCTTCCACAACAGACTCCATAAATCATTTCTTTTTTTTTTCTTAACCGGCCATGGTCATACGGTAGATACATGGGGCAGTCTTCAGTGAGGAGATATTTGAACCCACCCCCCGTCATTTGTCTCTTGTCGTTTTGCACTGTCTGCATCTGTAAATCTCAGACTCAAATCCTTGATCTGTATTCCGCCTCTTCATTGGCGTGAGAGGCTATTTCTAATTTTTTTCCCCCCTACATTGGAGCCATGTTGGCTTCTTTGAAGTTTAAAGCGTGCACTCCAGCATGCATTAGCCTTCGTTGAAGCAGGAGTCTACTTTAATGTTGCTTATCACCACCATTTAGAGTTTGTTGTAGATTCGTTCTTCGGCTTTGATAAACAAGCTTGTCTGAGTTTCGTGCTTTGACTCGTGATGATTTCACCGTTTGGCTACGTCTCAGAAATTAATGTTGCTATTTATTAGAGCCATCATTCAAGTCCTTTTCAAATGTCCCTTTCTGTATTCCTCCCCATCTCTCTTGATAAGGTCCAACCATAGCTTGTTTTTTTACAGGACATTTCAGGACATCCATTCCTGGCTCTCACAGCTAGTGCACTCTCCTTTTGTGTCTACATTTTAAAATAAAGAGGTTTTAATACATTTCTATCCATGTCATCCCTGAAGCGTATGTCACTTGGATACGAAAAGAATAAGAATTACAATGTAATTGGCAAAGCCACACAAGTGACAGACAACAGGAGAGCCGTTCGCTCACCTTAAAGCACCTGATCCTTTGAAGCAAAGCGCTCTCACCCATTAGAGTCTTTGTTCGGCTACAAACACTGGTGCTCTCGGATGAGTGGCAGCCGATGCAGTGAATGCACTCGCTGACAGCGACTCGCGTGCAGACCGAGAGCTCCTTCCTGTGGACAGCATCGAGTCTGCAGCTGTAGAAGTGTCGGAGTCTGCTGAGGATTCCTGGGTCTCTCTTTACTATTACCCACAACAGAGAGCCTTATAGTTATGTAGTTATATCCTGGTGACAAATGGACAAGCTTGTTTTCGCACTGAGAGAGATTTGCTGCGTCATTCACTGTCAGTAAGAATCAAAGATTTGTGATGTGGCAAAGTTGAGCTGCTAAGGTTGAGAATACACCATTGCTTTTAAAATCTGAATACATTTTAAAACACTAAGGGGCAGATTTACTAGACAGGGCAAATTAGTGTGAGAGCGCTATCCCAAAACCACACCAATGGGAGTGGGAAGTCCTGCACGTGATCTATTGACGACACGCAAATTAAAGAACACAGACGCCGTCAGATCATTTCCATTATTATGACCAACGCAATCTACCAGGTAGCGTCTGGTTTAAGACATGCTTTTTATGGGCGGTAAACAATGGAGCAAACACCAGTACATCGACGAGCGCAAACCTTAATAAATCACCTTGCGTGATTTATTTAAATACTCTCCTCCCGTAAATTTTGCGCCTGAAAGGGAAACTCCTACAAATGCGTATGCAATAAGGTCAGAGGTCAAACATAACCCTGTCCACGCCTTTTCAGCGCTCATATTTCACTGCGTGTCTTTAGTAAATCCTGACTGGAGTTTTTTAACGCCAAAAGAGGGTTTGCGCTGGCGCAAGCTGTTAGTAAATCTGGCCCTAGGCGTCATATTTTCTAACCGTAAATGATTGCAGAGGAAAAACTGGGCATTATACACTTAATGACTGAGGATCACACACATTACCAGGCTAGTAATTGCCGAAAATAGCAAACCCAATCATAAATAGGCACCTCACATGATAAATAAAAACACAGTATGTGTTCTAAAATAATGTTTGAATATCCTCCAAATGCATGCAAAAGATTCTACTCATATACTAATCGATAAATGTATATGCTATATAAATGTAACAAATTATTATTATTGTTATGATTGACATGTAACAAGCTTAGTTGAATGTGAAGTTCGCGGATTTTGAAAAATTGCACTCATTGTATTAGTATGGGAACTTCTAAACCTGACTTTCTTTCTTGGGGGACGTGGAATAATCGTATCCCTTAATTTCTTCATGGCTTAAAATAGCTTGAATGTAACTCTACACCCTTGCCTCATTTAGTATACGCAGTTCTATGAATATGCAAATTAGCCCCGCCTCCACTCACTCACAGCAGCTCAGAGATCCACTCGCTAAACTTACTGAGGTAAACGCTGCACAGTGGTCTTTACAACGTCGGACACACAACGGTAATTAATATGATTAGCCTTTTGCTTGACTATGTTATCAAACAGCTAATAATGTGTTGCTAATGTTAATGTCTGATTGGTTACAAGGTAGTTTGTGACGTCAGAAACACCAGTGATTTCAAACCGTGTTTTTGAGACTGTCTTTGGTTCACTGCAGTTTTAAGGAGAAAATACTCAGCAATGCTGTCGACTTATGAATTTGTACATGGCTTGTCTTAAAGCATATCAAAAACACCACATAGACATATAAACAACATTTAAAAGCTTGATTTTCACCACAGGGGGACTTAATTTTTTTTATTTGCAACATGTATCAGACTCCCGGACTGTGGGTGAGACGTCTGAGACTGACTAGCAACCAATAATACAGCAACTTTCTGACCTTCGGTTAATCTGTTCATCTATAACACGTGAATGCAATGAGCCACAACGACAAGATGTTTTATTGGTTGCTTGGTTTCTAATTCCGCTCACAGTGAAATCTCAACCACTCCTGTATTTCACACATCAAATATGTTTTGATTGTGCTGCATCTGGCATCATAGTTGCTTTCAGTGTGGACAGATGAAGGAAACTTAATGTGTCGCATCTGGTTAAGGCGGAGTTGGAGCATCCCGACATCCTTAATGCTAGCTGGTATATTTCGTTTCTCACTAATTGTCTTTCTAAACCCCTCTCATTGTGCTCTAGATCTTTGATGCGGAGCTCAGAGAGGAAGAAACGGAGGTGTGTTTTATTGACATCGCCTACGACGAGATACCAGAGCGCTACTACAAGGAGTCCGAGGTGAGATATTTCTTTAATAATCCACATGAATGTAAAATCATTAAAGAAATGATAAAAGATTTATAAGCAATACAAACGTACAATGTACATATTTCCCTTTAAAGTACAGTATGCGCTCATATTCACCTCCATATTTCATATTCACATCCAATATTTTCCTCACTGACCTCTATGATTTATTCATTTGTTCATTTGAGCTCGGTTGATATGGTATTTAGTGCTGATGGGATTTTGTTTTGAAGAAACCGGGGAGTGCTTCTCCCACATGGAAGAAAACAAAGGAGTATGGGTTATTTTTAAGCCAATCCTGAATTATTAAAGAGGCCCTGTTGAGATCTCTACTGGATACACGCAGGACTCAGAATCACCTCTCCACTGTACCGCTGCAGTAATTCACTTTCACAATCCGTCCCTCTCCTCCTGCAGAGGCAAGCTTAGACAGATGCGGCGTTATCTTTCTCTGGCAGGAGCTTGCTGCTATCTGAGGATCCAGGCCAGCAGTGCTTCTGTTTGAAGAGTAAAAAAAAAAAGCAGAGGTGGAATTAGACGTGGAAGGGAAAAGAACTGGGACTGACAAGTGTGATCACTCTAGTCCTCATTTAGACTAATAAAATCACTTGTGTCATGGAAAACAACCTATGTCCTGATGTGGCACAGTGCAACAAAGCAAGGAATGTTAATCTTGGCAATGTTTATTTTGTCAAAATGAAAAAAAATGAACGCCATTAAGTGAACTATTTGAATGGAATATGACGAGAAAAAAAGAAGTGATTCAAATAATCTAATCATAGTATTTTGGGGTATATATTAAATGAACCGCTTTAGATGAAAGAGCTAAACACCAGAAAACAACCGCATCTGGTTAGGACATGATGTTAAACTATAATGCACACCCAATGCATTGCAAGGTATAATTGTCATAGATGAGTTTTAAACGGAATATGACTAAAGGTGTATTTTAGGGGGATAATAAATGCCCCCCACCATGATTCCCAGCAGTCCTGCAGAGATCCCAACAGTCCTGTGTTGCTGAACAGCCTTTTTTTTTTTGTGGATCTGAGTCAAAGACAGCAAAGTTCCCACTCTGGGGAAGTTCCAGCTGGCATTTTTGTGCCCTTCAAGGACACTGCGGGAAGGGGACACTATTTGTTGGGTCGTTCCAAACAAAAGTGAGCAACCGAATCCTTTCACAAAGGTCCCTTTCCCATCCGCTGTAAGCCCAAAGTATACTTCGTTTTTTTACACGTAGGCTACGTATAGTGCGAGTGATGCACATTTCACCAACCGCATAATGTGCATACTGTACACGTGCTAATTTATGGAAGCTTGTTTACGCCACAGAATAAAACTTTTTAAAAGATAATTGTGAGACTTTTTATCTCGCAATCCTGACTTTATTTCTCACAATTGCGAGATATAAAGTCAGAATTGCGTGATATAGTAAAATAGATATAGTTTATATCTCACAATTCTGACTCTATAACACGCAATTGCGAGTTTGTCATCTTTTCTCAGAATTGTGAGATATAAACACGCAATTGCAAGTTATAAAGTCCAATTCTAAGAAAAAAAAAAAAGCTTTTTTCCTCAGAATTGCGAATTTATATCTCACAATTCTGACTTTATAACAGACAATTGTGTTATAAAGTCAGAATTGTGATATAAAGTTGCAATTGCGTGTTATAAAGTCCGAATTGCGTGATATAAAGTTGCAATTGTGTGTTATAAAGTCCGAATTGCGTGATATAAAGTTGCAATTGCGTGATATAAAGTTGCAATTGCGTGATATAAAGTTGCAATTGCGTGTTATAAAGTCCGAATTGCGTGATATAAAGTTGCAATTGTGTGTTATAATGTCTGAATTGTGAGATAAAAAGTCCGAATTGTGAGATAAAAAGTTGCTGTATTCTGTGGCGGAAACCATCTTCCATACTAATTAGTTTGTCCACAAGGTGGCAACCCTAACCCGGCCCGTTGTTTCACAGTCGAAAGAGAAACAGAAAATGGCAACAAACTACTGGAAACTGCAACAACAATAGGCGCCAATGTTGACCTGCGTTTGTGTGAGGGGGTTAAGTGATACCCACAACCTTAGTGTAAATGAGCACAAAGAAATTTTTATCAGCCATAACTTCTGGATAGAAGTAGTGCAGACACTGAACAAGAATGAAACTTTCTAGTGCTATCGAATGGAGTTTACTGTGAAAGGCTACACATTTGGCTATACGCATACACTAGCATTCACATCCAAACTGAAGTATACTTTAGGCTAACGTGCATTAGTCATGGTCAATTGAAGGAATTATGTTTGCCGTTTATGCCAGTAGCACCTCATTGCAGTACACGAGATCCAGGGGGTGGAGTTGGATCCAGATCTAAGGGGTGGAGATGGGTAGGATTAGGGGTGGGGTTAGGGATCAGGGGGTGGAGATGGGTAGGATTAGGGGTGGGGTTAGGGATCAGGGGGCAGAGATGGGTAGGATTAGGGGTGGGGTTAGGGATCAGGGGGTGGAGATGGGTAGGATTAGGGGTGGGGTTAGGGATCAGGGGGTGGAGATGGGTAGGGGTTAGGGATCAGGGGTGGAGATGGGTAGGATTAGGGGTGGGATTAGGGATCAGGGGGCGGAGATGGGTAGGATTATGGGTGGGGTTAGGGATCAGGGGGTGGAGATGGGTAGGATCTCCCCCTGGATTTCGTGTTCTGCAGTGAGGACCATCTCGTTTATGCTGGGACAATATTTTTTAACTGTTTTTTTTCCCCACATTAGTCACATTGCATTAACAGCTCAGGTCATTGTGCCAAAAACAATTGTGTCCAATGAGCAAAGATGAACTAATTTTTCAAAACTGCCATTGACAAGTACAGATAGATGTCTCCTGGTGTAGTAGACCTCCTTGATCATGATTCTTGTGAGATGATTTTGTTGTCTGTTAAAAGACTTGGCAGGGTTGGTAGGATGATCAACAGCTCGGTTTTCAACAAGTTAAGTTATTCAGGCAGAAATGCTTGCCAAAAATGCGACAATACCAGATGATAATTGGTTGTCAAAGGGTGAAAGGAGAATAAATTATTTGATTATCATTTGCATAAGAATGATAGGGAAAGCTCTGAGAGGTGATCATTTTGCAAAGTGATTTGGTGAAAAGGGGGAGTATAAATGGGCCAGATACTGATACAACTAGTTGGTGTGTAGAGTACTCACGTCAAGTGCTCTGCCCTCTAGAGTGGGTAGAGCAAGGCAATGTTCACTTTTAAAGGGAATTCGCTCTCTAATTCTGTTCATGTTTACAAAGGTTTTCCATCAGCTAGAACTGGATGGCAGATACAGGCATTAAACACATTAATTCTTGCTAGATTTTTTTTTTTTTTTTTTTTTACAATACAGCATTTACAAATACAGAGAGAAACTAATACAAGGACATCTTTACGGTAAAACAACATCTAAAAACAGTGATTTAACATTTGTAATTTAACTGTATAATGGGATATCCAATTGTCAGAGCCTTGGTTTGGTGTTTTGCATTAGTCATTTCCCGATCTGGGTCCCACCTTTTCTTTCCATCATCTCCTGTCTTCTTTCTATTCTGCTGTAAATGAGAAGTCTCAAAAAGGTTCAAATGTTACATTCTAGTATATTGTATTTAAAATTGGCTCTGTGACCATTTTCAATTTGAATTTCCACTTCAGGACCCAAGACACTTTAAATCCGAGAAGACAGCCCGGGGTTCGCTGCAGGAGGGATGGAGAGACTCGCAGGACCCCGTCATGTGCTCCTATAAGCTAGTGACCGTGAAGTTCGAGGTGTGGGGACTTCAGACACGTGTGGAACAGTTTGTGCACAAGGTCACTTCCACCCTTCCACATGCATTTCCCAAACGAGCCCCCTAAAATCCCAACCTTGCAGTTGCTCTCCCTGCAGATCACTCGGATCTATAGATAGACCTGTCCATCTGGCTGTGCTAACCATAATATTGCATGGACAAATTCCTGAATCATCATCTTTTTCGTTGTTTTGGAATGACATTCTTGTCAACCAATCAGATTTTAAGGTTAGGATTAGTCATCTTTCCGCTGGAGCTAGGGCTTTAACTACATTACTGTTAACCTTTCATTTTTTTCTGATGTTAGTGCTATATTAGGGTTATTGTTAGAGTTGGGGTTAGGGATGAATTGGGGTGTTTTTGTCTGTTTGATTATTTTGACAGAATGAATTCTCCAGGACCAACAAGAGATCCAGGAACTTGTCCTACTTTGCAAAATACTTAGGAAAATCACAATCACTGTATATTTGAACCTGTCTTTCTCTAGGTGGTGAGGGATGTGCTGTTGCTGGGCCATAGACAGGCTTTCGCCTGGGTTGACGAGTGGATTGGTAAGTTTGGCATTGACCAACCAGTCATCTAATCAGGCTTGCTGTTTATTCATCTCTTTTCCTTCATGGTGGTTTCTTTTGTGTTGACTGTCCCAGAGTCATGACTAACAAACCTCACAGATGCAGAAGGATGTTGTGATCCATAGCTCACAACCGTGTTTAGTCTTGCATGAGTCACTTCAAGAACAAATGGGCGGTAAAGAGATGTTTCACTTGAGAGATTCAGCTCTTTAAAGGTGTTCATGTTCTCATCGAAGACCTTGACCAAACTGATTAGATGACACCTCTTGAACAAATTCAGATTGCAAGACATAGAAAGCAAAGCCGTTCTCTCCACAAAAAAAAGGAGACGGCGAGAGGGAGGGAGGCAGCGTTTCTTTTGTCTCTTTCAAGCGTTCTCAGTGAACTCCTAAAGTTGCAGTGTGTGTCATGGAGATCACGGCGGGTAGTTAGTTGGTTGAATTAGAGCAGAGGTGACCATTAACCAATCCTGCTTTTGGAGGGCCACCTTCCTGCAGAGGTTAGCTTTAGCCCTAATTAAGCACATGAACCTGAACCAGATCGATCAAGGTCTTCAGGATCACTAAAAACCTCTAGTCAGATAGACAGGTTGGAGCTTCACTGTAGGAAGCCGGCCCTCCAGGAGAAGGAACGAACACCTCTGAGTTAAAGGTACCCATTAGTCAGGATTTGTTGGCTAATGGTCTGAAAGGAAGACTATTATAAATAATAGGCAAACAACAGCCTGTAGAAACATATAAAGATGATACAGTTACTGTAGCTTGTTAATGGAAACCTTGTGAACATCATATGGAATATGATTTTATATTAGATATGTTTAGTCCAGGGCTGTCAAACTCCACTTCTGGAGGACCATACTGTAGTACTGCAGAGATTAGCTTCAACCCCAATAAAACACACCTGATCCAGCTAATGAAGTTCTTCAGGGTTACTTGAAAACTACAGGTAGGCGTGTTGGCGCTTCTAAAGGAGTTGAGTTAGACACATCTGGGGCCAGTTGCATAAACATAGCCGTTATGTTTAGACTGTCTTAAGAACTAGTGCGAACAACTAGCAGTTAGTTAGGGGTAATCAGTCTTACTTTTTCGCCTTTCAATTTAGACCAGTCTACGTTTTTATGGTAACCGACTTGAAAAAGATATGAACCGTCTTAAAGAAACATTGAAAACTAACTTGTAAGAGTAGTCTTAGCAGTTAATGATTGAGGAGACTTTGCCTCCATGTTTTAAGATGTCCACTATACACCACTAATATAACTTTCTTTGCTTGGTGTTTAAAGACATGACAATGGAGGAAGTGAGAGAATATGAGCGAGCCACCCAGGAGGCGACCAATAAGAAGCTGGGCACCTTTCCCCCAGCTATCTCCATCAGCCAGACGCCCCTGCCAGCCTGTGCTCGCAGCGGGCCGTCCAGCGCTCCCTCTACACCCCTCTCTACTGAAGCCCCAGACTTCCTATCTGTGCCCAAGGACAGACCAAGGAAGAAGTCCGCCCCGGAGACCCTGACTCTTCCCGACCCAGCACGAAGAGACTCTGCCTTCCGCCTTCCCAGTCTCTTTTCCTGGGGTTCCAGTCACCCGCAACCTCAGTAAACCACAGTTCTGGCCTTAGCTTATGAAAACACACCCCAGTAATGTGTTTGTTTGACACACACAACGTGAATCAATCTCTCTTTAAACACTTAAGGTTTCCCAAACACACACACACACACATATGCACAGAGTGGCTTTTTAACCAGTGCAACCTCATATTTTACACTGGGAGTTAATTTACAATAGGCCAAAAAGTGCATTCTGATTTACAAAAACTACAGATCACTGTTAAAATATCTCAGGAGTTGTCCCATTGATAGACAGAGCTGAATCTTGTACTTTTTTTTCTTCTTCAGTTTCCTTCCTGCTGAGCCATTTTCTTTCCCTACATATGCTGAATATGGAGAGGATTTGTAGCCACTGTTGTTTTTGCTGTAGTGGTGTATTTAATGGTATATTCTGCTCGGTTCATATTTCAGTTGTGATCTTACGTTAACGTGACTTTTTATCCTCAGGCTTCAGAATTTCTCACTCAAATTAATATGTGTTTGACATGTACTGTAAATATCTCATTTATAAGAATGTAGGGGTCAATTTGATAGTGGTTTCACTATGCTCTTGTCTTTAACTTTGATCTGTCCCATTCCCATGGACTCAGAAAAACCCTTTGATGCCAACTTTACTGACCTAGCCCTTTCGCCTGGTCCGTTGTTTAACAATACGAACTGGAACTCGTCTGTACATACTGTAGTTTATCTTCATAATATATTTGTTAGATTGAGGAGCATCTGCCATGTAACTGAGTATCCTGTTCTACATTATACTGTATGCTATTGGTTTGGATTTCTGTGATGCATTATCCATGAATATGAATGAAAACGAAGAATGCTTGATAACTAGTTTGTTGTATAATCTTTGAGCTCTAAGGAATGTTTGCTGCTGCTGGCCAATGTATACTTTGTAAATTGGAAAGCTCTTGTACTCTTGCTGGTTCCCGCATATCTGTTCTTTTAAACTTAAAACACTCTTTTCTAAAGGATTCAGAAATGCATTTGCCAAATCTTGGGAAATCATGCTTTTGATGTCAACTGCCAATGTGAAATTAAAGCATTTGCTACAGTATCTGTTGGGAATTCTACTTCATTCCAGTTTCACGATGTCTTTGCTGTGTGTGGATAAGTTGCAACCCTTATGAATGGAAGAAAGTGCAAAATGGCGGAATAAATCCTGCCTTCTAAATACAAGAGCCAATTGTTGATTGTCCAGTGTTCTGCATTAGCTGGTCTGGCCTGAAAAATAAGCTTTTTTTAACGATATAAGAACCACATTTATGAGACGGCTTTGGAGAATTTGAAGTTTCCACATTTAAAAAGATAGGAGCTGCACTTGCATGACTGAATTAGCTGCATCAGTCACTAAACTGACATTTATAAATCCTCTCCCGTGGCCTTATTGGACAGTAAAGTTCAATCTTATGCACACTTCAGAATCTCACCGGAAGAAGTAGGTCATTGGGTACTTTTTACCTAGTGTTTTAGGAGTACTGTGAATTCGCTACTTTTGTCACATACTGTTTTTCACCTACTATATAGTAGGGAAGTATGCGATTTCAGATGCAGCCTTTGCTTTGCTTGCCCTTATTCTACAGGCCATTTTGACTTATGGCATGTCAGCCTGATGCTGATGCCTGATGACAAATTGGATCAAGTCTGCGTTATTCTTTAACAGGAAGCAAAGAAAAGGAATATGAATCTCTTCAAACTATCATTTTTAGGATTAAACTTCACTTTAAATTACTGAAATAATGCATAACCATTGTTTTTGATAACTACTGTGCATCTGCATTGCGCCAACTTCTCGCACCTAAACGGGTATTTCAGCCCAGGATGAACAAACTACATTCCACAGTTCCTGTAAATTTTGGGGTTTTGCTTCAGAAACGGCCACTCCATCAATCCTTTTTGTCTGGAACCAAGATGTTACTCGTGCGTTTATGGTTGTCTTGTTGAAAGACCCATTTCAGGGGCATTTCCTCTTCGGGCACAGGGCAACATAATCTCCAAGTATTTTGATGTATTCAAACTGATCCATGATCAACACCATAGTATGAAAAACATCCCCATACCATAGTTTTTGCTTCACTGTCTTCACAGTGTACTACTATGGCTTGAATTCAGTACCGGGGGTCGCCTGACGTCCTGTCAATGACCACTAGACCCCAAAAGAACAACTTTACTCTCTTCAGTCCAGAGAATGTTACGCCATTTCTCTTTAGGCAAATTTGAACTGATTCAGTTTTTTTTTCAACAGTGGTGCTTTCCAGGGACTTCTTGCTGTTAGCTTGGCTTCAATCAAACATCTTCTGACTGTAACAGTACAGGTCATTTTAGATAATCTTTCATCTTTCTGGAGGTGATGATTGTCTGAATCTTTGCCATTTTGACTATTCTTCGATCTGTTTTAACAGTAGTTGCTCGTTTTCCCCGCCATGTTTTTGTTGCCATTTTAAAGCATTTGAGATCATTATAGCTATGCGTCATTAAATTTGCTGCACTTCTTTGTTTTCCCCTCTCCAATCCACTTTTTAATCAAATTACGTTGTTCCTCTGAACAATGTTTGGAACGGCCCATTTTACTTATAAAATAAATTTCCTACTGAATTGCTATCAATGTGGGAAACATTTGCTTCCCTTCTTCCTCAATAAAGGACAATTAATGACACCTGTTTTTTTTATTATTATTTTTTTTTTATACAAATGTGGAATTTTTATGAGGAACATCATCAAATCATATCTCAAAGGGTAGTCTAGTTGTTTAAAATTGTTCATGAGAACAATTACCAAGAACCAACAATGTGTGAGAGTGGAATGGGGTTGATTTAAAAAAAAAACTGTATATGAATATTTGCAGTATGCAATATCTCAGAGAGCATCGTCATTTGCGTAGTCAAACAGTTTTACTGCAAATATTTACTTAAATAAAAATGATCTTTGATCAATTTCTTTCCATTACTTTCAGTAAACACATTGTCAGAGAAGATATGTATCTGCAAGAGGAAGGGGAAGTTATTTTGGCACATTAATAAAAAAAAGATGGGTAAATCAATGAAAATACAATATTGCATATAAGAATAATAATTGTCCGTTTTGATTTCAAAGTGACATTTACATGGCCACTTTTTGGGGGACTTTTATTTTGAAGTGTGAATTTGGGGCTTTTTATTTTGAAAATGAATTTTCACAGCCGTTGTTTACACGTTTGATACGCTATCAGTATGCTATCTGAGAGTGAGATATACATTTAATCCGAATTAAGGTAATCGTTCACCTTTTGGAACGTCGCGGCGTTCATCAGTTCTTTTGGAACGTAATGACATATAACATATTCTAGCTGGATGATTATTAAACACTCGAGGAAGACATGTTAGCTAATGAGAGTAATGGTGCTGCTATCACATAGCCTTGTCAGCTATGAACTCTAAGGCTCTTAACACGAGTATAAACAAATGAACTGCACTGAACTTCACTCTCTACGGTATTCATTCATAAGGTAAATAAGCATTTGCTAATAATACTGAGCTCATAAGGGGTTTTAACTCCTCATACACCAATAAAAACACGCCATGGCTCAAAGCTACCGCAGAGACCCACATCATGACTCCGTTTATAAACGTCCTAGAGACCCCAGCAGTGACTTTAACAGTGATAAACGGCAGCGAGCATCCGACGAAGCCCAGCACAGACCCGCCGAGACTCTGAGCGTTCACAGACAACTGTACGAGAGAAACTTCCCTCTTTACAAGCAGCCGGTGGAGGTGGGCTTCTTCTCGCTGGACGCTCACAGGAACTTCTTCAATGACCAAAGGCAGATGAGATATTACGTTGAGCCCAGAAAAAGTCCGGATTTTAATTTAAGGGACGGATACACCAACCGCTTCGTGAAAAGAGACGATGGCGTGAAAGAGAAGCTTGATCACATGCTGAGGTGGATTCTGGCCAACAGAGACAAGATCAAAACCAGAGACCAAAGCAGGTAAGATAGCTAGGCTACATATTCTGCACACTAAATATAGTTTTTAAGAATAACAGATAATCAAATACAGGCCCATATGAGCTCCGATGTAAGGCAGTGACTTTTATTTTTATTTTTTTTACAAATATCACGAATTATTAGATTGTTATTCACCCAAAAAATTTAAATTCTTTTTTTTATTCACTCTCATCTCGTTCCAAACCCCTAAGACTTTTCGTTCATCTTCGAAACACAAATAAAGTTATTTTTTTATAAAAATTTGAGCGATTTCTGTTCTCTCCATTGAGAGCTACCCAAGCTACCACTTTGATGCTTCAGAAAGTTCATAAAGAGATTGTAAAACTAATCCATATGAATTGAGTGGTTTAGTCCAAATATTTTGAAGAGACACGATCGCTTTATATGATGAACATATTGAATTTAAGCTTTTATAAACATTGATCAGTGAACATAAACAGAAGCTCAAACGTGCTGCGTAACACGAGAATGAACCTCATTGGTTCTTGCACGTCAAGCGAACATGCTTGAGCTTCCTTTCCTGCTGATGTGATTAAATGTGAAAAAAGCCTTAATTAAATCTGTTCTTCATTTAAAACGATATTGTCTCTTCAGAAAATTTGGACTAAAATGCAAATCATGGATTCGTTTTACGATCTCTTTATGAACTTTTTGACGTGTCAAAGTGGTAGTTGCACAGACTGTCAATGGAGGGACGGAAATATCTCATATTTCATTAAAAAAGATCTTCATTTGTGTTTCGAAGATGAACGAAAGTCTTATGGGTTTGGAAAGACATGACATTATATATCATCATGTTTTTGGGGAGGCCGCATCACACGACATTGTACAACCTAAACTAACACTGATCATTTTAATAACTTATTGACCTTGACTCATCCTCTATGATATAATTTCCTGTTGTGCGTTTACTTTTTAATATATTTTTGAATATAATAGATAAAATACCGGTATAAGCATACCATTGTTGACCCTGTTTGCTGGTGCTACACAGCAGAGTTATTATAGATAACTAAAACAAAACAAAAATGAATGACTTGAAATAAAATAAACGTTAAAATCTAAATATTAATAAAAGCTAGTATCGGTAGTAACACTGCAGCTGCACAGATGTCTTGTTCCCGGCGTTGAGTTATGGAGTGTGTTTGCAGTGCTCTAGGTGTGGACTTTGTGACATGGAGAGGACACCTAACCAAGGTCCTGACCACCCCGTACGAGACTCAGGAGGGATGGATGCTGGCCGCCTCCAAGTTCAGAGGCACCATCTACATCAGTGAGGTGGAAACGGAGGCGGCCAGAGCGAATCGAGTGACCCGGTCGGAGCGGCAGGAGGAGATGATGTACTGGGGCTACAAGTTTGAGCAGTACACCTGTGCAGGTTTGAGCCCGTCCAGTGTTATCAGACTGCTGATAGTGAAGGATCTCGCCGCTGATCGACCACTGTGCTGTCTTTTAAGATGGCGTGGATGGCACTCCAGACCCGGGGGGCGTCGTGAACACCAACGAGGCGTTCTGTACGGTGGTTCAGACCCGTTTGGCCGACCATAAGCTGCTCTTCTCCGGGGAGGTGGACTGCCGGGTCAAAGATGCTCCTCCGGCTCCGGGGTGTTATGTGGAGCTCAAGACCTCCGCAGAGATCTGCACCCCGAAACAACGGAGTAACTTCCACAGGTATGTTTCTCAGACCTGTAGATCATTTGCTTTGTTCTGAAATGGGGAGTAAAATTGTTACAATGGTGCAATTTCTTCTTGATTCAGTTTCACAAGGCAACATTTCTAAATTGCCAGATACATTTGTCAAAGTCCCCCTGTGGTCAATCCTTTTATCTCTTCAAACTCATCTTTGTTTACCAAAATTACATATTTAAACGTTGTTTTTTTTCCCGTTGAAAGCTTGAATGTAACTCTACACCCTTGCCTCATTTAGTATACGCCGGTCTATGAATATGCAAATGAGCCCCGCCTCCACTCACTCACTCAGCTCAGAGATCCACTGGTTGACGATCACACGTTGATCTGATTAGTTACAAGGTAGTGTGTGACGTCAGAAACACCAGCGATTTCAAACCGTGTTTTTGAGACTGTCTTTGGTTCACTGCAGTTTTAAGGAGAAAATACTCAGCAATGCTGTCGACTTATGAATTTGCACATGGTTAAAGCATATTAAAAACACCACATAGACATATAAACAACATTTAAAAGCTTGATTTTCACCACAGGGGGATTTTAAAGGTTTAGTTCACCAAAAAAATAAAAATGCAGTCACCCTAATGTCGTTCCAAACCCGTCAGACTTTCGTTCATCTTATAAACTCACATGAGGATCTTAAATCTGAGAGATCTCTGTCGCTCCATTGACCGCTACACAACTATCACTTTCAAGCCTCAGAAAGCTAGTAAAGTCATCATTAAAGTAAATCCATGTGACTCCAGTGGTTTAACCTCAACTTTATGAAGCGACATGAGTGCTTTGTTTGTGTAAAGAAACATAACTTACCACTTTATTTACAAAATATTGATCTCCAACGCATGTCAAATTTCCATGTTTGATTTTGTCTGTTCAGACCGATGTGAAAAAACAGCAGATAGGTTGAAATATAATGCAAACTCACTCTCAAAATGCCCAATAACTATAACGATAACCATAAAGATAAAGGCCTAGAGTAGACCTTATACGACAGAGGACCAAGCACGCAGCCATCTTTATAATTTTGTGCTTGTGTGTGCGTTTTCGCGGTGGCTCTGTATATTTCTATGGCATCACTGGCGAAGAGTGATTAGCTGGTGAAGTGGATTTACTTATTGTAGAGTTAACGAAAGTTATTGTAATGATTGAAGCGGATGTCATAATGTCAGTAGACCAGGAAGATTTAAAAACGGGGGGTTTCATTCATAAATCTGTAAGATCTTACCTTCACGCTGTGGAAATACAAACCGGAAGGCAGAAAACAACGAGCGCAGCACTGAAAAGGGGCGGGGCTACATATGGTCTAACTTCAAAAAATTGCTCTAAACATAAAAGAATATTAGTAGTCCACACCAAAATTTTAACGATAACAGCACAGAGTTACAATATCATTGGAATCGATTCTAGCTGATGAACGATAAAAACTGACAGCCAATCAGAATCAATCCTGCTTTAAAGGGCTCGAGCATTATAGTTATCTTTATAGTCATCGTTCTTGGTGTGAAGATAACAACTATAAAATTTATAGAGGTCCACGCCAACTACAACAATAACGACACAAAGGAACGATATAGTAGGAATCAATTTCAGAACGTTTTTTCTTTTTTTTTAAGGCTAATGAATGATAAAAACATTGACAGCCAATCAGAATTTACTGGATCGTTTAAAGCGGCAGACCACGAAACGTCAGTGCTCATTTAAAATCAAACGAAATGTTCTCGTCCGCTGGTGTGAACGTTAATATCGTTCTTAGTGTGAATGGGCCTTAACAGTAGGTGGCGCTTGAAAAGCAGTAAAAAAAATCGTCTGTTCGTGAGCAACACCAAGTCATAGAACTCCTCTACATAAAAAATGCAAATGTTTGTGTTTGTTTAAACAGCCATTTGTCCAAAAAACATTTAAATTGGTGTGAGTAAGGACTAGGGGTGTAACGGTACATGTATTCGTATTGAACCGTTTCGGTTCGAGGCTTCCGGTTCGGTACGCATACAAACCGAACGATTCCTTGGACCATTTTTCCTGCCGACAAAATTCGCGCTGGCGCGACCACCACAACGTTGCGCAACATCAAATGGCAAGCGTAATGAAACCGGAACGAAACTGCGCTATTGTGCTTCACGGATCGTTTATCAGTTCGGAGCAGAGCAGCAACATCTGTGCAGCGCGAGCCGATCTCGATCAAGCGACACTGTTACAACCGTTACAACACAGCGCTAAGAGATCCAGTAAAGAAAACATTTGAGTTCGCCACTGAAGTAATAACATCGCTGCGAGATCTAGTGAGAAGCATTCAAATTTCTCCGTTATTAACCGTAGATCTCTAGATCAAACAGCGCTGACGTGGACACCAGGAGAAACATTGTGCCGTGAATGAACTAGTAATACTTTACGTCCACAGACCAGCAACATTCACCATTGATTTAATATAGTAGGCTAACACTAACTGTAACCAGTTTGGCTGGAATAGTGAAATGCTTTCAAGTACTTCACACATCTTTTTCCAGCACTTCAAAACTCAAATATTATATAAATAAATAGCCTATATGAAGAGTTCAGATGCAAAAGCCTCTATAAGTGCCATTTGAAATTTTCTTCTAGAAATTAGAATGATCATTTTTATGAAGCTTGTACATTTAAGTTCAGTAATTTCACTCAAATGACAATTAATAGGCAATCTTCAATGCCATTTAAGTGAAATGACTGAATTTAAATATACAAGCTTGATAAAAATGATCATTCTAAGAAAATTTCAAATGGCTTTTGCATCTAAACTCTTCATATATTTAAATGTTATTTTTAATGTGATGACCAAAACATTATTTGTTCATCCTTCAAAGATGACACCCATTTATAAACCTGAAAGTTTCAAGATGTAGGAAAACTCACTTATTTAAAAAATATTTTTTATTTTAACAAATAGAATATTTCTCTGGCATTTCTTACTTTTTGCTGTATCGAAAACGTACCGAACCGTGACTTTAAAACCGAGGTACGTACCGAACCGTGATTTTTGTGTACCGTTACACCCCTAGTAAGGACATTTAAAGGTGCAATGTGTAACATTTTTGAGTATCTATTAACAGAAATGCAATATGACATCCATAACTATGTGTTCAGTGGTGTATAAAGAACTTACTTAATAAACCGTAATGTTTTTATTACCTTAGAATGAGGCATTTATATCTACATAGTTGCGGGAATCCCCTTCTATGAAGGTCGCCATATTGTGACGTCATGTTTCTACCGTAGCCGAACGCGAACAAACAACGCTACAGAGCGCGTTTCGTCACTACCTTGAAAGAGAAGCCGCAGAAAGCTAGAAGAAGCTAGTCATAAACACCGTGAGTAGTGACTTTTCCCTTGTCAGTGGAGTAAATATGTAGTTGGACTGTTTCATGTAACTTAGTTCTTCTCCCTCGCTGTGTTATGGCTTTGCTATGTGGGGATAAATGTGCTGGTTAAGTTCGTGAGACAGCTGATTAGTAGGCTACTCTTGTCATTGACCGTAAAACAGTTACAGGAATCACCAACCCGTCGATCGCGTTCGACAAGTCGATCTTGGAAGCATTTTAAGTCAATCTAGTTTCCAAAATCAGAGAAAAAAGCCTATTGTGTGTAGTAAATGGTGTGTAGGGGATGCGGAGGCGCGCGCGCTGTTACAATCACGTCATTTCTGCCGCGCGCACCTTTGGGCTCATGCGGACGCGTCGAGTTTAAACAAGGCTTTACGCTTTAACCAGCTCAGCCACAGTAACAGCTCATATTACCCAGCTAAACTTTTACTACCCTGTTAGAAAACATATATAGTTGCATAGTTTCATGTGGTTCTTTTCCCTCGCTGTATTATGGGTTTGCTATGTGAGGAGAAATGTGCTGGTTACGTTCGTGAGACAATCAGCTGATTACTATCATTATATTATGTAACATTAAGACCCTTGATCCTCGCCTGAAACTTTATCCATGATGTGGTTTATAATGGACTGTGGTACAGACACCTGGTTTACGCTGGCTATTCTCTGCTGTCTCAGACGACGATGTTTGTGCCGTTTTAGCCACCGTAGCTCCTTCGAAAGGGAGGGGTTAGCAGTGTAAACTCGCAACCGAACCGCTAGATGTCGCTAAAAGTCACACACTGCACCTTTAAAGGTGTAGTACACCGAAATGAGCATTTTCCTCATGTCATTCAAACACAAATTTCTTCACATTTCAATGAATATTAACGCTGTGGTCAAATGCCACTTCAGGATTTTTCCTCAAGGGTTGAAAACATTTATGGGAAATGAATAAAAGTTCGTAGAAACATGTATGTTCCTCTTCTAGGTACAAGCTGCTGAAGTGGTGGGCGCAGTCATTTCTTCCTGGAGTGCCACAGATAGTCGCTGGGTTTCGAGACCATGATGGGATAGTGGTGTCTATTGAGACCTTCCAAACCTCGAAAATATCACAACTGATCAAGGTTTGCTTTAAATAACCATGTATTAAAAGCTTCAGTCCTGCTTGGTTTACCCTACATAGCATTATAATGTGAAGCCACAGAAAAGCGATATTTAAGAGTTTGTGGGAATCATGTTTAACCCTCTGGGGTACTTCATTTTAGACTCACACTCAGGACTTTCGGGTCAAAAATGACCCGGAGGGCGGCATTAAGATACATTTTATTTGAGTAAAATCAATGAAATATATTTTTGTTCAATAATATTTTTTCTTTTCTTTTTTGGTGTTTTGAGATAATTTTATGATTTATAATTAATATTTCTGCAATAATTAAGACCCATTTTTTCCCATTGAATATAATAGAAAATTATTTTTTATTTTTTTATTAAAGCTGTATTTCATTTTAGAGTCAAGTCTAGGCCTCATGAAAGCAATTTTTGAAATGAGATCGGAGCCATCTGGTGGACACACTGAGCATTTTTATCACGCAATAGCACATTTTTACCAGTAGTGGATTTACAGCTCTCTGTAGAAACCTATGGTAGAAACACTCTAGTGATTTTTTCACATATTGTTTAATTTTTTTTAATATATAATAACAGAGTCTCAAAGACTATTTGTCTTTTTTTTTTTTTTTTATTAAAAAAAATATTTTTTTTTTGGTTGGTTTATGGTAATTTGAAGTGGCAGTTTTACTTTATAATACAGTCAAACCTGAACATTGCATTATAAAGAGAACAAATGGAAAGCATTTTGTCACCCATTGTTTTAAGAGATTCACCCCTTCACTGTTGTGTGCTTTTTTTCTGCATCCTGGCTGTTTTGTAGATTGTATGCTCAAAAAAACTCTGTATTTTCAAAGCGAGACGCTTTCATTTCTCTTGATTTCTGTAGAACGAGCAAAACTGCTGGAAGCCAACAGTCTGCATGAATTTCTGCAACGATTTCTTGTCCTTCGTCAAGTCAGTGGTCAAAGAGGACGACCCAAGGTATTCCTGAAAATCAAGTCTTTATTTCTTCTTCTTCTTCCCCAGATTGAGCATTGTTTCACTTAGAAATATGTCCGATTACTACACGGGTAAGATGGGTTTGACTGTGACGTATTGTGTTTTTCAGACTGGTGTACCTGTTGGAATGGGATCCACACAGAGACGTGACCTACACCGTCCACAGAGACTCTCCGTTTACATTCTTGCCAGAGTGGTACGTGAAGGACACGAGGAGCCATCACTCGTCTCACCACTGACCTTTTTACCCGTCATTAACACACTGTATCGGTGCTGTGCACAACTTGCTATTGCTTGTGTTTTCTGGATTAAGTTTGAACCTTGAAAAGGACGGTTTTAACCAACATTGAGTTGATGTCCATGTTTTTTTTTTATATTGGGATTTTATTTTACCCATTGTTTGTTATGATGACTATGATGTCCTTTAAATATGTACATTTTCTGTTAAATGTTCAAGTCACAATTATTTTTTTTAAATAATTTTAATAGTTCTATAAAATGACACATTGGTCCTTATTCAGGAAACACAAGCGTGTGAATTTCTTGTAAAACGGTTCCTACGTAAATTCATTCAATTTTGTGACATTTTAAGAATGATTTTTCAAACAATGAATTGACCTATGACATGCTGAAGAAAATTAGATAATGGCTGTAAATTAAGAATTTGTTCCAAAGACATAATTTGTAACCATAGTTTATTAATTAATTCCCTTCATTTTAGTTCAATTGTGGCCATGGTATACTAACATCTTTTAAGTCATGGGGACAAAATCTTAATTTGTGGCCACTATATCTTGTCATGTGTGCGTCTTTGTACTTTTGTGTTAAGATTTGTTATATTATCTCAGAGAAATCACTACTGAGAGGTCTTTGTCCAAAGCTTTTATTAGCATTCACTTAAAAGTTTGCAATTCATTTAAACATGCCACAAGTACAGTTAAATAACAGGGGTTATACAAATGAAAGTACAAAATATGTGCTATAAATTTTGAAATAAAGAAACGTAAGTACAAAGTCGTATTTGCAAGTTCATTATGTAAACTCTATTAGTTTTTAATATCGTATTGTATGAGGTCCACAAGATGAACCGTTTCATTGACACAGCAGGTAAGACTTCTGGAAACGGGAAGATATCCTCTCCAAAATGCATATTTAAGGCAAGTGTGGTGTGAATAAATTCACACTGACCTCAAGCTCAGGTTTACGCTGAGCCGTGTGTATTTTTTAAATGCCTTTCATGACGGCTACATTGTGATAAATATCTTTTAAATTAGAGATGCATGATTCTGGATAAATTGAGAATCGCGATTTTCTTATTTTTAACAGACAAAACAAAAAAAACATGTAATTTACTAGAGGTTCTGACACAATTTGAATCGGTTTGAGTGAATAATTCAATGACTCACTCATAGATGAATCTGCGTTTTGAATGATTATAACAGTCATTTGTCTCCATCTACTGGTGTAACGATATAATCGATACAGTCTTTAAGTGCAAAGTCACTTTCAAAAGTTGATTTGCTCTATTTTGATCGCTATCGTTTACATCAGTGTTTATATCCGAACTAAAAACTTTAAACGCTGTGATCGTACTTGTCAAAAGTTTAATGAATAATAGAATAATGCCATGTAATCAGCTAATGATTAATTAACATTCATTAATGATTCTCAACCGGTTTTGCTCCAGGACCCAGATTTAACATCAGACATCATGTGGTGCCCAAATTGTTCATAGTACAAAAGTAAACAAAAACAAGCTTTGTGAATATTTCAGAATCGGTAACATGGATTTGGCGGATCAGAGGACACTTAAAAGCTCTGATCGGCTCCAGATTTTATCCTTTCATTTCATTGATGTTGAAAAAAATTGATTCCGAAGACCATTGCCTGGTTTGTCACATAGCAGCACATCACTGATAAGGCTCTACTGCATTTATTAAAGCACTTTACATTTGGACCACAAAACCAGTCATATGGGTACATTTTTTTAATTGAGATGTATACATCACATGAAAGCTGAATAAATAAGCTTTCCATTGGTGTATGGATTGTTAGGATAGGACAATATTTGGCCAAGATACGAATATTAGAAAATCTGGAATCTGAGGGTGCAAAAATATCGAAACATTGAGAAAATCCCCTTTAAAGTTGCCCATTTATGTCTGCGATTGTGCTGCGTTCACTCACAAAAATCAATGTTTTATATATTTACGGTAGGAAATTGACAAAATATCTTCATGGAACATGATGTTCACTTAATATCCTAATGATTTTTGGTATAAAAGAAAAATCGATAATTCTGACCCATACAATGTATTGTTGGTTTACAACAAATAAACCTGTGCAACTTGTGACTGGTTTTGTGATCCAGGGTCACATTTGTGCCAAAGGTATTATTAATACATCTCTATTCACATGGCAGATGTCTCTTCAAACGTTCACACACTTTCCAGTTACCCACTCTTGTCTACTGTTAGACAAATTTCTCTCAAAATGGAAAACTCTGTCATCATTTACTCACCCTAATGTACTTACAAACTCCTATTCTTATTCTGACGAATGATCACGCTGCTCTTTTTATACTAAAACTAATCCCTAAAAGTTACATTCGAGGTCTTCTGAACTCATAAAGCAGGTTTGTATATTGCTGTCCGCCATAGCTCTCACATTTAAACTAGCCTGATGTCAATCCATAATTGAGAACTGCAGTGGAGGGGAAGAATATTGATGTAGATTTCAGGCTCTTCCATACACCCGGGACATGTATTTTCTTTAAATAAATGATGTCGGATTTTCCTATAAAAGCTTGGACGTTCTGAGAAACATCTTTCATGTTACGCAAAAGAGAAAAATCATATGGGTTTGGAACCACGTTACTTTTTATACTATTAGTTTTGGTAATTTTGTTACGTGATTTTGTCTTTTTTTTATTTCTATTTAGCTTTATTTCTAAGTTTTAATTGAATTTCAGCACTTAATGCTAGCGTTAGTTGCCTTTTTAACCTTTTCATCTGATTTTTTTATTTTATTTCAGCCTTATTTCAATCAACAAAACAAGTTTATTTTCACAGACTGTGATGATGCATTAGCTATCAATATCCAATAAAGATTTTTCATATTTTAAATTTGTAAAAGTCGTCAATAATTGTATCCCTTAAAACTCATCTTTGATCACCGAAATTACATATTTAAATATTTTTTTCCTTGGAAGTAGCTTGAATGTAACTCTACACACTTGCCTCATTTAGTATACGCGGTTCTATGAATATGCAAATTAGCTTATTTAGTTTAAGGTATTAGTTATATTAATACCTTGGCAGTTAAACGCTGCTGTGCGGGTGTTCATAACACAACGGCAAATTCGACATCTTACTCTTTTTTTTGACCAACGTAACATCTCAGTATGTTTTCCCTCTTTTGGAGAGTTGTAGGCAAGCTATAATAGGCTAATATATTTGCCGTCGCCTCCTGTACAGACGTTCACCTGACTATGACGACATCCACTTCTGAGAGCCCCGGAGATGTGAAAAGGGTCCTTAGTTTTAGTACTGGTTTGGCATGACATCAGAGTGAGTAAATGACAGGATTTTAATTTTGCTCTTAACCATCACCTTTAAATTCAGAAACACTCATAACCGAACGGCAGGATTTGCTTTGGGTTAAGACGTTATAAAAGATGTCATGTAATCATGTAAACTTTTTTTTTTTTTTTAAAGCAACGTTAAAAACCAAAGCCTTTTTTCTTGCTTTAAACTGACCTGTGTTAAGGCGGGACTGAATCATGCTCGTGGAGCAGTGGCTGATGGGATATGTGGAGCTCCTCCTGAGGGTGTGTGTTAGAGAGGTAGTCATGAATGAAGGCTACGGTGTCTCAGTGCTCGAGTTTCCTCTGAAGGCCCATGAGTTTGAAGGTGGCGCCGGTGATCTTCTCGTACACCACTAACATGAGGGCCGCCGTCAGCACCGTCTGCAGCAGCTTCGCCTCCAGGCCTTTATACAAGCCCAGCGGCCCATGTCTCCTGTACACAGAGGACGGAGGACACGGCTCAGACTCCAGCCGGCACACTGCAGACATCACAATATAAAATACTATTCTGCTCCTTAAACCAGTCAGTGTGTTGATGTTATGGCTGGTGACCAATAAATGGAAGGTGTTTGAATTATTATTTTTTTAATGCTAAGCATTATACATCATTATTTAAAAAAAAAACTATAAATTAACCAATTGAATGAGATTTTCATTTTGAGCTGCGCTAAAATATGTTTTTAAAAATTAATTGAGTTTAATTGAGATTAATTGGCAAAGTAAATGTAAGTGTAAAAACAGGCAGAATTGAGCAAACATATCAACATATACATATTCAATATTAGTAATTAAAAAATCAATACTGGTTGATAACAATTATTATTACAGTTATTATTAAAGGTACAATATGTAGGAATTTTGAAATAAAATATCCAAAAATCACTTGCACGGTGTGATATATATCCCAAAAGTCTCCAAAGATTTTTTATTTCAGAAAAATTCCCATTTTAAATAAGTGGCCGTCCCGGACAAAAATGTCGCCTGTCAATGACGCAATATCCACGCTTTCCTCGGTTTCCGCTCGTACTGCCATAGCACGACGTAACCATGGCGACAGACGCGGACAACTGCGTAGTGCGTAACGTTTAGCTGCACGCTGTTGTGGTTTCGTTCAAACATTATGGACCATGGCAAGGAGACTTTGGGACAAACAAGGAGAACTAAAATGAGGATCAATATCAGCGTGGCGTTTTCCAGATGCCGAGAGCTCCACGTCCGCGACTAACTTGGAGCAACACTGCTCTTGCATATACAGGTCCTTCTCAAAAAATTAGCATATTGTGATAAAGGTAATTATTTTTCATAATGTAATGAAAAAAATTAAACTTTCATATATTTTAGATTCATTGCACACCAACTGAAATATTTCAGGTCTTTTATTGTTTTAATACTGATGATTTTGGCATACAGCTCATGAAAACCCAAAATTCCTGTCTCAAAAAATTAGCATATTTCATCCGACCAATAAAATAAGTGTTTTTAATACAAAAAAAAAAAAGTCAACCTTCAAATAATTATGTTCAGTTATGCACTCAATAGTCAATACTTGGTCGGGAATCCTTTTGCAGAAATGATGCTTCAATGCGGCGTGGCATGGAGGCAATCAGCCTGTGGCACTGCTGAGGTGTTATGGAGGCCCAGGATGCTTCGATAGCGGCCTTAAGCTCATCCAGAGTGTTGGGTCTTGCGTCTCTCAACTTTCTCTTCACAATATCCCACAGATTCTCTATGGGGTTCAGGTCAGGAGAGCTGGCAGGCCAATTGAGCACAGTAATACCATGGTCAGTAAACCATTTACCAGTGGTTTTGGCACTGTGAGCAGGTGCCAGGTCATGCTGAAAAATGAAATCTTCATCTCCATAAAGCTTTTCAGCAGATGGAAGCATGAAGTGCTCCAAAATCTCCTGATAGCTAGCTGCATTGACCCTGCCCTTGATAAAACACAGTGCACCAACACCAGCAGCTGACATGGCACCCCAGACCATCACTGACTGTGGGTACTTGACACTGGACTTCAGGCATTTTGCCATTTCCTTCTCCCCAGTCTTCCTCCAGACTCTGGCACCTTGATTTCCAAATGACATGCAAAACTGAGCAACAGTCCAGTGCTGCTTCTCTGTAGCCCAGGTCAGGCGCTTCTGCCGCTGTTTCTGGTTCAAAAGTGGCTTGACCTGGGGAATGCGGCACCTGGAGCCCATTTCCTGCACACGCCTGTGCACGGTGGCTCTGGATGTTTCTACTCCAGACTCAGTCCACTGCTTCCGCAGGTCCCCCGAGGTCTGGAATCGGTCCTTCTCCACAATCTTCCTCAGGGTCCGGTCACCTCTTCTCGTTGTGCAGCGTTTTTTGCCACACTTTTTTTCCTTCCCACTGAGGTGCCTTGATACAGCACTCTGGGAACAGCCTATTTGTTCAGAAATTTCTTTCTGTCTTACCCTCTTGCTTGAGGGTGTCAATGATGGCCTTCTGGACAGCAGTCAGGTCGGCAGTCTTACCCATGATTGCGGTTTTGAGTAATGAAACAGGCTGGGAGTTTTTAAAAGCCTCAGGAATCTTTTGCAGGTGTTTAGAGTTAATTAGTTGATTCAGATGATTAGGTTAATAGCTTGTTTAGAGACCCTTTTCATGATATGCTAATTTTTTGAGACAGGAATTTTGGGTTTTCATGAGCTGTATGCCAAAATTATCAGTATTAAAACTAGGGATGCACCGAATCCAGATTTGTGGGGTTCGGCCGAATACCCAATCCACTGGTTAAGATTCTGCCGAATCCGAAACCGAATACCGAATCCTACTCTCATCCTCAGTCCATTAACACAGTAAACACATTAATGAAGTAAACAAAGTGGATTTTTCATTTTATTTTATTACTGTAAATAATAAACACTACTTTTACTTTTATAACTGTAAAAAAAAAAAAAAAGAATAAGCAACATTATGCATTTTAACAGCGGCGATGTTGTGTAGCCTATTTAGAGTCCTTGCCACCATGAGACAAATCGGCATTGCAAATTGAACATGTAGCTCGACTTGAATTGCCTTCTTTCACTGAAAGTACTGCCAAACAACACTTTTTCTGCTCACGAGTTCCATTTTCACTTTCTCACAGCCTACTGCATTCGAACGGTCCACCTTCTGTAACGAGTGGAAATAAGGTGTGGCCCCTTTAAGAACTGCGCGCCGTATGTGCCGTGCGCCTCGAACACATGCAATATGTATGCGGGTTATTTCTGTTTGATGCTCATTTTTACCTTATTTTGTTAAGTAACGCTGTGGACGGTAGAACGTGTGACAGACAGTTACACAAGTTCGATTGTGGAATAAAGTGCGAGTTGTGAGATGCCAATCGCCTCCGTGAGTCTGTCTGGCCTCTGCAATAACTTTAGCTGTGAGCTATCCCTATTTTTCTTCCTGACACAACGCGTTACACTACAGGGTTGTTCGACTTGAACCGGCGCTGCACAGACAGATGAGTTTATGACATCAAAGTCCCGCGAGAGCAATTCAAAAGCATGGAGCCGTCTGCTCTCTATTCGTTCACGCGGTACTTTGATGTCATTCACTGATCGGTGACTTCGACGTAGCGCGCGTAGTGCAAGCCTAGGGTTCGGTTCGGTGGAAAAAAATTCTGAGGTTCGGCAGAAACCGAACCCCGTTAAAAATCCCAATATTCGGCCGAATCCGAATCCGAATCCTGGATTCGGTGCATCCCTAATTAAAACAATAAAAGACCTGAAATATTTCAGTTGGTGTGCAATGAATCTAAAATATATGAAAGTTTAATTTTTATCATTACATTATGGAAAATAATGAACTTTATCACAATATGCTAATTTTTTTAGAAGGACCTGTACGTTATTAGACAGGTGAGCAAATGTACATAAAACAAAAGCATTTATCTGTGTTTCCTTGCAACACATGCAACTGTCAATAATATCACTTATAAACAATGCGAGATACATACGCCTTTATGAGGTGACAGATCAATCATTATGCATATGTTGACTCACCTCAAAAACTATCAAGTGATCGTTATGCTGATGAAAATTCACAGTTATATTGCTCTTTGTACTTTGGTAATGCTTTTTATCACTTGTGTTTTGACTGAGAATATGGCAGTGCAATTAAATACAATCAGATATGTGTTGTTAAACAATATTTAGCCATTACTTGCAAACAAATTTACTTTGAGAACAATTGGTTTGAACACGTAAAACTGCGCAGCATTAACCCAACAAATCATTTGACAAATAGCTGTAACCGGATAATATAGCATAACATTTCGCGTTCCTTGCAGTTAGTTCATTATGGTGACATAAAATATTGCGATCAGACGTACAGGTAATACAAAAACAAATAAAGTACCTCATCCGTGATCATGATCCATTAATTCCATAACATCTCTGGATGGTGAAAACGACATCTCCCATCGTTCAACTCTCCCTCATAGCGTCACCAAGCTTCGCCTTTGTTATTGTTGGTAACTGCGCCCACTTGTGGCGAAAAATTCCTACATATTGTACCTTTAAGTCTGAATGAGTTTTTTGTTATATTTTTTCATTTGAATGATTTTCCTTTAAATTGTCTTTTTATAATATGTCTATATAGTTTTCATTAATTTTAGATTTAATTTATTTTTAATGTTTATGAAAGAGTCTCCTCTGCTCATTTATTTGATCAAAAATGTTATGTAAATTAAATATTATAATTTAAAATAACTTTTCTATTGTTATATATGTTAAAATGGCTGCTTACATGCACAACTTTTGCTCCAATCGGACTGAGTTGAAGCCGAACGTAGTGTTTACACAACCCTACACATGTGATCGGGTTGATGACACTGCACGAATACACAGATTTTCCCGCTGTTTGCACATAATAACCATTCTCCTACATTGGTTCTTTATTTGTTTTAAACAGCAGACTTCATATTTATCCATTTCTGGTCATAATTTGGAGACTATGAGCATATGAACCGTTGTGTCGCTGCTTATATTTATCACGCAGTACAAATGCCCAAAACCAGTCGTCTGTGGATGAGAGTCTGAAACCAGGACTGGTGGGACGATGTCCTGCTTCACTTCACAGACGCTGAGTGAAAGGAGAATTTTAGGATGACGGGACACTCATTTATAAGACACTTTCTTCAACAGGAAGAACAGCTCGTTCAGCGCGTCATTACGCTATTTCCACGTCACATGCGCAGTCTTTTCAGTTTTCAATCCGATCAAGTGTATACATGTTCTCTCGATCGGATTAGAAAAGGAATGAACCAGCCCTTTCAATCGGATCGAGATTTAATTCGGATCGAGCTCAATCGGATCGATTAGGGTGTTTACATGAAGGCTTTTCAGTCCGGTTGAGCCGTCAATCCGATTACTAACGGATTATCTGGTTGCATGTAAACGTATTTATTCCTAAACGTATTTTCAGCATCATTACTCCAGTCTTCAGTGTCAAATCATTCAGATATGATCAGGAAACATTTCTGATTATTTATTTTGTACATTATACACTACCGTTCAAAAGTGTGGGGTCAGTAAGAGATTTATTTATTTGATCAAAAGTTACAGTAAAGACATTTATAATGTTACAAAAGATTCTATTTCAAATAAATGCTGTTCTTTTGAACTTTCTATTCATCAAAGAATCCTGAATAAAATTGTCCACAACTGTTTTCGACACTGATAATAATAATAAATGTTTCTTAAGCATCAAATCATCATATTATAGTGATTTCTGAAGGATCATGTGACACTGAAGACTGGAGTGATGATGCTGAAAATTCAGCTTTGATCACAGGAATAAATTATATTTTAAAATATATTACAACAGTTATTTTAAATTGTCATAATATTTCACAATATTACTGGGTTTTTTTTTTAATCAAATAAATGCAGACTTGGTGAGCAGAAGAGACTTCTTTTAAAAACATTAAAAATCGTACCGATCCAAAACTTTTGACTGGTAGTGTACATATTCAATATGTATATTGGGAAAAAAAAGTTTTTATTAATAGTCTGAAATATATTTTTTCAATATTCTTTTAATTTGAATGTTTTCATTTACCAATGAAATTTAGTAAATTGTGTTCTTTTAATATGTCTATATAGCTTTCATTCATTTTAATTTCAGTTTTAGTTTTACGTAATTTAGGTTTAACTAAATGAAAATGAGAAATAATTCCTTGGCAACTAGATACACACACATATATATGGTGAAACTTGAAAAATTAGAATATCTAGAATAATTAGAATACAAGTTCATTTATTTCAGTAATTCAACTTAAAAGGTGAAACTAATATATTATATAGACTCATTACATGCAAAGTGAGATATTTCGAGCCTTTATTTGTTATAATTTTGATGATTATGGCTTATAAAAACCCAAAATTCAAAATTAGAATATTGTGAAAAGGTTTTCATAAGCTGTAAGCCATAATCATCACAATTATAACAAATAAAGGCTTGAAATATCTCACTTTGCATGTAATGAGTCTATATAATATATTAGTTTCACCTTTTAAGTTGAATTACTGAAATAAATGAACTTTTGCACGATATTCTAATTTTTCGAGTTTCACCTATATATATACACATATATATTTAGTTAACTTTTATTTTATTTCAAGTAAGAGAAATGCTTTAGTTCCCTATAATAACCCTGAGTGATAAGCAGTATTCCTGAAACGGAGCATTAAACTGCAGTTGACTTACTTGATCCGGTCCATGAGCAAAGACGCCACGTTCCTCAGGCTGCCCACTAGACCCCCTTTACCATCTGATTTATACTGGCCAAACTGCAGAGCAACGGGAAACATTTCACACGATGACTGCTTTAAAATGAGTAACACTGTGTCTACCAGCATCAAGTGCCCCTATTATGCCAGTTCAATAGTTCCTAAAGTTGTTTTGGAGTCTCCTACAATAGGTTTACATGCATTCAATGTATCTGTTTATAATTTAAAAGTCACTATATTCTTTATTCTATGTTATGTTTTTGCTGGCAAGTATTTGTTCACAGCCTCTGTGTGGCTATCACTTGATATTCACCTAAATTTTTTTTTTTTTTTTTGAAGTGTGTTGATTGTGGTATTGTTTATGTCTTATTATTTCATTGTAACGTGTTTGATTTGTCCCTTGTTCTGTGTTGTATTATAAATTAGGACCCCCTCGAAAACGAGATGGTTCATCTCAAGGGGTTTGTCCTATTCAATAAACTTATATACACTCACCTAAAGGATTATTAGGAACACCATACTAATACTGTGTTTGACCCCCTTTAGCCTTCAGAACTGCCTTAATTCTACGTGGCATTGATTCAACAAGGTGCTGAAAGCATTCTTTAGAAACGTTGGCCCATATTGATAGGATAGCATCTTGCAGTTGATGGAGATTTGTGGGATGCACATCCAGGGCACGAAGCTCCCGTTCCACCACATCCCAAAGATGCTCTATTGGGTTGAGATTTGGTGACCGTGGGGGCCATTTTAGAACAGTGAACTCATTGTCATGTTCAAGAAGCCAATTTGAAATGATTCGAGCTTTGTGACATGGTGCATTATCCTGCTGGAAGTAGCCATCAGAGGATGGGTACATGGTGGCCATAAAGGGATGGACATGGTCAGAAACAATGCTCAGGTAGGCCGTGGCATTTAAACGATGCCCAATTGGCACTAAGGGGCCTAAAGTGTGCCAAGAAAACATCCCCCACACCATTACACCACCACCACCAGCCTGCACAGTGGTAACAAGGCATGATGGATCCATGTTCTCATTCTGTTTACGCCAAATTCTGACTCTACCATCTGAATGTCTCAGCAGAAATCGAGACTCATCAGACCAGGCAACATTTTTCCAATCTTCAAATGTCCAATTTTGGTGAGCTCTTGCAAATTGTAGCCTCTTTTTCCTATTTGTAGTGGAGATGAGTGGTACCCGGTGGGGTCTTCTGCTGTTGTAGCCCATCCGCCTCAAGGTTGTGCGTGTTGTGGCTTCACAAATGCTTTGCTGCATACCTCGGTTGTAACGAGTGGATATTTCAAAGTTGCTCTTCTATCAGCTTGAATCAGTCGGCCCATTCTCCTCTGACCTCTAGCATCAACAAGGCATTTTCGCCCACAGGACTGCCGCATACTGGATGTTTTTCCCTTTTCACACCATTCTTTGTAAACCCTAGAAATGGTTGTGCGTGAAAATCCCAGTAACTGAGCAGATTGTGAAATACTCAGACCGGCCCGTCTGGCACCAACAACCATGCCACGCTCAAAATTGCTTAAATCACCTTTCTTTCCCATTCTGACATTCAGTTTGGAGTTCAGGAGATTGTCTTGACCAGGACCACACCCCTAAATGCATTGAAGCAACTGCCATGTGATTGGTTGATTAGATAATTGTTCCTAACAATCCTTTAGGTGAGTGTATATATATATTCAAGGTCGAAAACCACTAAAGCCAATGAAGAACATAGACTGGCATTATGCAAATCTGTTACAAACCTACATAGGCAGAATTGCTTCTTTCTTTTGGGAGACAATAACTCAATTTATCTGCACTTTCCATTCACAAACAGCTACATTACACCGGCATGACAGATACTATCCGAAAAAGCATAACAGGAGCACTTTAATGCAGTCATATTGGTGATATTACCCTCAGAATGGCCTGCACCGTTTGCAGGGGATACGTTGCAGATGTTGCAACAGCTTTGGCGATGGCACCGATGAGAAAGATCTCAAGGGATGATATCTGCACAGAAACATCAAACATTGGAGTTATTCCACAAACTGATAAATGAATGATGGCATTTCTCTGTCCCGCACACCTTCCTGCCTCCACGTCCCGCTCTTCGTTTCATAGCCTCGTAGAACATGAACTGCACAGCGGGGTTGAACACCAGCACGAGAGACGGCAGCGTCCCGTTCCACAGCGCTCCCACTCCCTCGCTGGATATTATCTGGGAGAAGGCATCTGTGAGAGGAGAACCACAAAATGATCGGATTTATTGGTGGAACTATATTTCTTATTGCTGATATTATTGCTTTACACCACTGCGTTTTTGAATTCTTGACTCTAATTGGTTGACACAAATCTCAAAATTGACAATTAATAGTTGTATTATTTTATTTTTTTGTAAATATTTTTTGTTCATCCCATTCCCATTCCCCCCCCCCCCCCCCCCAAAAAATAACGTTTTATTTTTTAATTATTTATTTGAATGTTTCTGTATTACATTTTAATGGTTCAAATAAATGTTAGTGATCAAAAATCATATCTAATTAATTGAAATCATTAAACTTGTACCATTTAACAACAATTCATTAAAAGTTTAGCAAAAATAACATTTCAGGCCACAATTAAATCATTTTTCCCAACTTACATTTAAATTTTCCCAAATTATCTAATTCGTTAAAACTTTAAATTCAATTTTTAATTATATTTTTATAAGGCCCGTTGAAATGTCTGTTTTAATCTTTCTGGATGTAAAAATTGTGTTAATCTTTTAAATTGTAATCAAATACAAATGGAACTATAACAAAATGCTGCACAAGAGATTTACTGTAAATAAAATGTTCCATGTTTTAAAATGAAAACATGGGAGAAAATTGTGTCATATTCCATAAAATAAATTGTAATAATGCTATTATTAATAGTTTGAGAAGTACATTTTACTGTCCATTACTAATATATTTCTGTCACAATTTCAAGTGAACTTTTATTTTGAAGGGTTGTCGTGAAGACGATGCAGATGAAGTTCACGTGTTCATGACCTTATATAGTGAGACGGAAGAGCGTCACACAGCCCTTCCTTTGATTTATTCATCTAAAATTGGCTAATTCTGACACATTTCACATTATACTGTAAATTCCATTGTATTTGACTGGATCCCACAGTTTCAATGCGTTTTTCACACTGCAGAAATCATAGCAGAGGTGGGAGACTCGAGTCGCAATTTTCTGGACTTGAGACTTACTTGACTAGATCTCTGAAAAGACTCGACTTGACTTTAGACTTGACTCGGACTTGTGACTATTTACTTGAAATGACTTGTGAAAAAAAAAAAAATTTCAATTATTGTGATAATTTTTATACGTCATAAGAGGGACCGTGGGCGGTAATGCACTCACTCTGTGTGTTCGGGTTGAGGGAGAATAAAACGATTCGCGGGACTCCCGCAAACTAGAAATATCTATGAATAAAACAAAAACTAATACATTTTTATTCATCTGTTGCAGAAAAGCAATAAGAAAAACTAAAACAAAATAGAAATGGTTTACAGGCAGAGTTTCTATTTCTAACATGTCTGCAGCGTTGAGCGATGTAGCCAATCACAGACATACGTGTTGATTTCTTGAACGCAATGGCCAATCAGAAGCATTTAAGATAGACTTCCCTCATCGCTCAAAACGACTTTTTATTCAGTGCTGAATTCTGTATGCTGGCAAATCCTCGAATTATAACAAACAAAGTGTAGATATTATGAAAGCTTCATTGATAATAATATGTGTGAGATCGCGATGAACTGATGTCAGCTTTTTAAGAATTATTAACCCTCTGGGGTCCTTCATTTCAGAGTCACACTCAGGACCTTCGGGTCCAAATGGTCCGGAAGGGTGGGATTAATATATATATAAAAAAATCATCTTTTTTTTTTTTTTACTTGTTTTTTATAATATTTTTTCTTTTCTTTTTTGGTGTTTTGAGATAATTTTATGATTTATAATTAATATTTATGCAATAATTTATTGCAATTAAATTTTTTTTTTTTTTTTTTTTTTTTTTTAAGCTGTATTTCATTTTAGAGTCAAGCCTAGGCCTCATGAAAGCAATTTTTGAAATGAGATGGATGCCATCTGGTGGACAAACTGCGCATTTTAAAAATTCAAAACACATATGTAATCTGAATTTATTAGTGTTTACGTGTATAAAAGTGTGTTTGTGTGTGTGTGTGTGTGTGTGTGGCTGTGTCTGTTTTGCACTCTTGATGTTTTATAGATTCACCCCTTCACTGTTGTGTGCTTTTTTTCTGGATCGTGGCTGATTTGTAGATTGTACGCACAAAAAAACTCTGTATTTTCACATTTTTGCCAATTTCCCATTCATTTCCTATGCGGGTCCATTTGGACCCGAAGGTCCTGAGTGTGACTATTTTTTTTACAACCACTTAGACTATTCAAATCCTGTCCCCAATTTTTTTGGGTGTTCATATACCAAGTACCAACAAAGCTAACTTGAAAGTATTTGGAGGTACAGAAAAAAAGTCTTTTTGCGGGCGGGAGCGGGACAAAACATAAATGTTGCGGGCGGGAGAAAGTAATTTAGAAAGTAGTCGACAACGTCAGTTATGACGACCCACGCATTAAAAAATAGTCGGGTTTAAATAATTTAAATGACTAGATTTGTTTTCTTAAAATTTCCATATAATATTTTGTGTTATGGGATCAAATCACCTGGATATTTAGAGTAAGAACATACAAACGTTGGCATACAGTAGGCTACTAATTTAGAATGCAATATCTTTCTTTTTTTTTTTTTTTTACAAGATGGGAAAGTTTTATTAATTCTTGATTACTTGTGTTCATTTAATTATTATTTTTTAGAGCATTTAAAGTGCTTCTTAATGATATTTTATTTATTACACACAAGTTAATTTATTTATTTTTGTAACCCATTAGCCCTCTGTGTCTAAATAAGTAGTAAAAGTCCCAGAGTTAAAAAATGTGTAAAACTAGCCTGTGTGCGACTTGGTATGACTTGATGACTAAGTTGCAACTTGACTTGACTTGACAAAGAGTATGACTTGACTTGACTTGACCCTTACAACAGAATGACTTGACTTGACTTGACTTTGACTTGCAATGTTAAGACTTGGACTTGACTTGAGACCTGCATTTAGTGACTTACTCCCAACCTCTGAATCATAGAGCCTAGAGATCTAAAATTAAGTGCAGCATGAATATCACAAAAGATGATCAGATCAAGCTTTATATTTGAGAGGAAGATGCTTTCTTTACTAACAAATGTGATTTACTGAACATTGGTTTAGAGTTTAAACCATCAGATAAATGAGTGTGTGAGCGGTTCTGACCAAATATGCCCTTATAGTGGGTCTGATGGAGCTCTTCGTTCCTGAACTTTGCCCCCTGAAGCTTCAGTCGTGTGTTCACCACCCACATGGGAGTCGTCAGGAGCACATTAACAGCGCCTACATCATGACATTAAACAACAGGGAGAAGAAGAGAGTGGACATTATCACATCAATGACTGATTAGGTGTTAATTGCTTACAGGTAACATTAATATTTACAATGTCAAAATAGCATTGAGAAGTAACGACATAGACCCAACCAGTGCTGCACGATGTGGAGGAGAAAAAAGCGAATTGCGATATGTCGGATAAAAATTACAAAAGTGATTTAAACATTTGTATTTTTTTTTTTTATATTGTATCAATATGGCAATATAATAATAATTCTAATAATTAATATTATATAAAATGTACTAAATAAAATCAAAATAAATTGTATATTTCAGTGTAAAATAAAAGTACTTAAGAAAAATAATGTAATAATTTTATTTTACATTACAACAAGTGTTATTTAACTTTTATTTTATTATAGTTCTTTTTAACCTTTTTAAATCACATTTTTGCTTTTCATGTGAATTTTAGTTTCATTTTCAAATATTGAAATAGTTTCAAATATTGCTATTTAGGTTTAATTTATTTTAATTTCAGTTTTAGGTTCTATTTATTTCTAGATTATAAATGTAGTGTTTCAGCTTAAACTTAGTTTATTGCCACGGCAACATTACTAATTTCCGTTTGAAGGTTTTCAACTAATATTTCTATTTGAAATAATTTCAGCATTATTTAATTTAACAGAAATGTTTTAGTTTACAATAACAACATTGATTACAACTGGGAAATTATAATACTAATATTTAAGTATTTATTCATTTTCCAGCAGTAAACCATCAAACCTTTATTTTGACGGATAACCGCAGGGAGCCTTTTACTCTGAAATACGCAGCTCATTTATTTATTAAATCCCAGCCTTTGCTATCTCTGATAATCGCACTAATTGCGATTAATCGCGCAGCTCTACCAGAACACCCCGGTAATAGCAAAAGAAACATGGTGGTGAGAGTGAAACACTGTGAAACTGAGATAAGGAGATCAACTGAGAGGGTTCAGCACAACATTTCAGTACCTGATATGAAGCCCATGAGCAAATCTGTGGCAGGCTTGGGCCGGTCCGAGACCATCACTCTCTTCAGGGTGTTGAATGTGTAGAAGTAAACAAAGTTAGAGCAGCACAGGCTAGAAATGACCGGAAACCAGCCTCGATACAGAGACAATCTGCAACACAATGAAATGACATCTTGAAATAAGCAGCCTGGCATATCCAACTCAAAGTCTGACGGTCTGACCACATGAAATGGACTTTTGTTTTGTTTTTTCCAAACCTAATTCCAAGGACGTTCATATGTGGTTTAACGGTGCAGTGAGCGATTTCAGAGAAACACTGTTGATATTTGAAATCAACCCAAATAAACACCCCAATGACACTCAAAACTGTCCTGTTACTAGAGCTCACATTACAACAACAGCACATCAGAAACAACACAACACCGGCGTCTGTTTTCAGGCCTTCCCGCCTGGGTCTCTCCAGTGCTGGAAAGCTTTTCTAATATTAATGCGGGTCCTAAAGCTCTTGCCTGATCTTAATCCCTTTTTTTTCCCAGTGATATTCCTCTGAGCTTTTCTCTTTTGTAATGTCTCTCAGTCATCTCTCTTTCTACAGTCTTGCTCATTCTCTCTCCTCTCCCATCAAGAGTGGACACGCCCCCTACTGCTGATTGGCTCACTCTCTCTCCTCTCCCATCATGAGTGGACACGCCCCCTACTGCTGATTGGCTCACTCTCTCTCCTCTCCCATCATGAGTGGACACGCCCCCTACTGCTGATAGGCTCACTCTCTCTCTTCTCTCCCATCATGAGTGGACACGCCCCCTACTGCTGATTGGCTCACTCTCTCTCTCCTCTCCCATCATGAGTGGACACGCCCCCTACTGCGGATTGGCTCACTCTCTCTCTCCTCTCCCATCATGAGTGGACACGCCCCCTACTGCTGATTGGCTCACTCTCTCTCCTCTCCCATCATGAGTGGACACGCCCCCTACTGCTGATAGGCTCACTCTCTCTCTCCTCTCCCTTCAAGAGTGGACACGCCCCCTACTACTGATTGGCTCACTCTCTCTCTCCTCTCCCATCATGAGTGGACACGCCCCCTACTGCGGATTGGCTCACTCTCTCTCTCCTCTCCCATCATGAGTGGACACGCCCCCTACTGCTGATTGGCTCACTCTCTCTCCTCTCCCATCATGAGTGGACACGCCCCCTACTGCGGATTGGCTCACTCTCTCTCTCCTCTCCCATCATGAGTGGACACGCCCCCTACTGCTGATTGGCTCACTCTCTCTCTCCTCTCCCATCATGAGTGGACACGCCCCCTACTGTGGATTGGCTCACTCTCTCTCTCCTCTCCCATCATGAGTGGACACGCCCCCTACTGCGGATTGGCTCACTCTCTCTCTCCTCTCCCATCATGAGTGGACACACCCCCTACTAGGGGTGGGGGAAAAAATCGATTCTTAGATGCATCGCGATGCGGACGTGGACGATTCTGAATCGATTCACAATTGTCAAAAATCGATTTTCAAAAAAAAAAAAAAAAAAATTTTATATATATTTATAATAACGTAATATTGACGGAACGCGAAAGACGGAACTCTGAAGCGCGGAAGTGCAGTGGCCGGACCGTCTGTGGCGTGCACATAACAGACGCGGACGCGATGGCTGAGCGCCAAATCCAAACACCCTCCTCGTTAAAAGCTGACGTGTGGAAATATTTTGGCTTCTGAAGTTGAAGGGGGAAAGGAGCTGGACAAGAGCCACACTAGTTGTAAGCTTTGTAGAGTAAAACTAAAATATTTCGGAAACAAGACACATGAAGCCAAATGACACGTTTCCAGCCAGAGGAGGAAAAACACTCGGCTGTAACGTTACCGGTCGTTGTTATATTATTAATTTACTACAAATATGCTGCTGCTAGTTCAGACACACATGTATTTTCCTGTTGGTTCTTTGCAATGTTAATAAAATATATTGTACGTTAATTCTTTATGGGTCATTACTTTGTACTTTTAAAGCAAAGTATTTATAGTCACACACACACAAAAAAAAGATTCTGATAATCGATTTAGCATCGAATCGCAGCCCTCTGAATCGTAATCGAATCGAATCGTGAGGTGCCTAGAGATTCCCACCCCTACCCCCTACTGCTGATTGGCTCACTCTCTCTCTCCTCTCCCATCATGAGTGGACACGCCCCCTACTGCGGATTGGCTCACTCTCTCTCTCCTCTCCCATCATGAGTGGACACGCCCCCTACTGTGGATTGGCTCACTCTCTCTCTCCTCTCCCATCATGAGTGGACACGCCCCCTACTGCGGATTGGCTCACTCTCTCTCTCCTCTCCCATCATGAGTGGACACGCCCCCTACTGCTGATTGGCTCACTCTCTCTCTCCTCTCCCATCATGAGTGGACACGCCCCCTACTGCTGATTGGCTCTCTCTCTCTCCTCTCCCATCATGAGTGGACACGCCCCCTACTGCGGATTGGCTCACTCTCTCTCTCCTCTCCAATCATGAGTGGACACGCCCCCTACTGCGGATTGGCTCACTCTCTCTCTCCTCTCCAATCATGAGTGGACACGCCCCCTACTGCGGATTGGCTCAATCTCTCTCTCCAGTGTTTCTCAGAAATCACTTGCTGCACCTTTAAAAGGATGTATGTAACAAATTGTGCAGTAGTTCCTTTGTTCTCACTCACACCTTCTTTTTAACAATATATAATGTGAGGCATTTTCAATTTAATGAATAAAGTGAATAAGTGACTGAGCCAGTGGTTTTGAACACAGCATGTTTTAAATGTTCCCTCTCAGCACTGTGTCAAGAGTCATGATCTGTCGCGAACACTGAACACACAGTAACTCACATGCCTTCCTCCTTCGCGATCTCAGCCAGGATAATGGGGGTGGACTGGGACTTCCGGTTCTCATCCACTGAAACCAACGACAAATGTCAAATAATCATTCTTCATGCCTTTTCATTATTGAGAGGGTGAGACACGTGAAACATTTATACTTAAACTTATATTATATATATATACACACATTATACTTTTTTTAATGGAACGTTTTATTAAAACTTTTGACAAAATATTTTTGCATGTGCTCATATTTGAGACATCAGGCTTTTATGGCTCATTTAGTATGATATATGAGAATGAAGTGCTCATACTCGAGCCTGGAAAAAAAAAAGAAGAAATTTTATTATTTTGGCTTATACGGTCAAAAAGTAAGATGAAATTCTGATGCTTGTAAATCAAGGAGAGTATAGTGACTACTTGCATACACACACACACATATATATAATATATATTGGTTGTCACTATATCTCTTAATCTTAGTAAGGTGATATTTAATGCTTAGTTTTATGATCAAAGCTCTGTGGTTTTAAAACATGTAATGCAATGCAATGATGATGGAATGATGAACAAACAAACCTTCCTCAAACGCCAAAATGATGTATGAATAATCAAGTAAAGCTATGTTTCTTCAGTTACAGTGAGTGTTCATCTTGAAATATTATTAACAACATAAAAGGTATTCTGGCGTTTACTTTATAAAAATCAGTAAAGATTCCACAGCCGAAAGACGTGTAAACCATGAGCTGAAAGTGGATGTTTTATACAATTACACTAAAAGGTTTTTTACTTGCTAAAACTGATCGATTAGACGAAGGCTTGTGGTAGATTGTGCAACAGGTTTTTCAGCAAACTTTGTATCATGATGATAGTTAATGCTTTATATTTTTGCGTATCAAATATGATACAGTTTTGAAAATCAATTGATAGATACTATAGGCTACACACATTTCTAGTGTGCACAGTATAGCCTAACTAGGTTTTTATTCACTAAAACAATTTCCATGACATTGTTATTTTTCTGTTAGGATTGTTTTAAATTTCATAATGTCCATGTTTATTTAGATGTTACTACTTTGCTACATTTAAATATAAAACAAAGAAAATAGCTTACCCTGAAGTCTGATCCTGGCTGTGTCCAGAGGGAAAAACACTGTCATTGCTGTCACACTGCCCTTCAAGGCAATAAAACACAGTTTAACAAACATCCCACATTCAGAATATTATTACATCCCTGGGAAAGACACTTATAAAATATAAGCTACAGTGTTTAGTATGGTGTTTTCTCACCATTGCGCCTGCCACCGCATGCACAAGTGTCTCATATGACAGCAGGGCAACTGATCTGCCGCTGTCTGACATCTCGCTTTTACTCTCTGTTCAGTCCAAACAAACTGATTGCAGCGTCTTGGCTTTATGTAAATTAGCTGACAGTCATAACTAATAACTCTCAGATTAATTCATATTCATTGTCGGGTGGCGACAGTAGAATAACGTTCGACTTCCGCGTTCAAAACACTGGCTCTCTTGGAGACTTCGTGCGGATCCTTCTGGATCCCGCTGCTCTTCAGCGCCCCGAGCGGCGGGGTGCTGCACTGCGGTCTTCTTCCTGCAGGGGGGGCTTGTGGCTCGGAAATCAGAATCCGCCTTTCTCTTTCTGGACCACACCTCAATATTACGGTATTAGGAATATTGTTATTTTAGAAATTATTGGAACCACAGCTGATGTTTTTGGTCTCTCAAGTCATTCTCACTAACTATGTATATATTAGTGAAAATCGTGATACACTACCATTCAAAGGTTTAGGTAACCCTCACGAAAAAGTTGAATCAAGTGTGCTACTATTATACTTCTTTTAATCTAAAAATAAGAAAGTATACTTTCAGTCTACTTTTGGTAACACTTTATGTTAAGGTGACATCAGCCACGTTAAGTAACTAACCCTGAACCAAACCCTAACCGTAACTCTATAAGTAGCCTACATGTAGTTAATTAATGTCACTCAGTCTGTAGCACTGCGGTCACGCCATCTACGCTTAAAAATATATTGCGCGTCTACATGAGGTTGCGTGGTAGGCTCAAGGTGTATGCGCTTGGTGTCGGCAGACTTTAAAAAAAAATATTCATAATAAAATAAATAAAATCTAATTGTTTTCTGCAAACTCCACCAGATTATTGTTCTACATCTCATTGACTACCACTGTGGTGATTTTCACGTTGTTCTACTGTTTTATTATTTAATAATTAACTGCCAAAGTCCTATACTGTATACCTTGTTATACAGCAATATTTAATAAATTCGTAAAAAAATCAAATCAAATCGTTTTCTGCAAATTCCACCAGAATATTGTTCTTCATCTCACTGACTACAACTGTGGTGATTTTCACGTTGATCTACTGTTTTATTATTTAATAATTAACTGCCAAAGTCCTATACTGTATACCTTGTTGTACAGCAATATCGTGTAGACGCGCAATATATTTTTAAGCGTAGATGGCGTGACCGCAGTGTCAGACGCCTACTTATTTGAGTAACAATGTAACTACCGACGCTATAGGGACGTGTCCCTACCAATATCCAGTGACACTGATATATCCCTAGCAATAATTTCGATCAAAACTTTAAATATATTTAGATATTGATGTCGCCGTCCCCACCGATTTCAAAATCAAACCTATACGCCACTGAAATACATCATCTTAAAATAAAGTAGGCTATAACCCTACTTTTTATGTAACTACTTCACAGAAATATAGTAAGTAGGCTATAACTTAAACTGACAGACATATCTAAGTATGTTTGGTCTATACTTACTAAATTTTTTTGATGAGTAGCCTTTTAAATACGTTTTTACCCACATATAGTTTACATACTGAGTAGGCCTATGTGAATTTTTGTGTAGTCCACTGGTAGTGTCCATAGGAATTTACTTAAAGTACAGTTGAAGGTATTTTTCAAGTATAAAAATTAATACCTAAATAGGAACATAATAGTATACATAAAGTGCACAAATAATATAAAAACAGTAAGTATGATGTTAAGTTGTATACTTGCAGTATAAAACTACTAGTCGTTTACTGAGAGTGTACTTCAAAGTGTACTTTCATAAACAAAAAAATGTTCACATGCAGTATAGTTGCAAAAAAAACTTAGTTGTAAACTAGTTGAGCACTCAAAGTTTACTGTAACACTATACTTTAATAATTAAAGGTATACTTTTATACACTACAAAGTGGGCCAATTTACTCCCAAGTAGTATCGAAAAAGCACTTACAAGGATACTTCTTCTAGTACATTGATGTTATTAGTAAACTACATGTCCACTTCCCAGACAGCCATACATTGTCGGCCCAGATCCGGCCCACCCCACATCTGGTACGCATTGGATCCACATGTACCAGATGTGGCTGGGGATCTGGGCCGACGCAATGTTGCTGTCTGGGTTGACCTGCCATGAAATTTGACTTAGAGCTCTCACAAAAATTAATAAATAAATAAAAATATGTATAAGACATATATAATTAAAGCATGCTGTGTTAGGGGGGAAGTGTCATAAATACAACAGGAAAAAAAGACAATAACATCAGCTCGATTGAAAAAAAATTTGACTTCTAAAATCATGTCATGACATTCTTTCATGATATTGACATTTGAAATATTGATTAAATAATGATTAAATGAAAACTATAACAATAAGAGTTGTCCATATTTATATCTCTGTCAAACTAACACTGATGGCGTGTGTCTGGTAAACGATTCCAGCTCAGCCTGGACTTTAGTTTATGACAGTGACATGGGTGTCAGTGCGATCAGAGTTTCTCCTCCCTCAGACACAGAGACCGAGCACGCAAGAGGAGTCTGCAATGATGCTCCTGTAACACTTCGTGAAATACAGTTTACTTGCTGAAGAAGAGAGATAGTTATTACAGCCATGTCACGATATCACAAAGCAGCCATTGATGGCTATTTGGAGCTACTGAAAGAAGCCACAAGAAAAGACCTGAACACCCCGGATGAGGACGGCATGACACCCACTCTCTGGGCCGCTTACCACGGACACATTGAAGCTCTTCAGCTGATATGTAGCAGAGGGTGAGCTCAGAAAACACACTAAACTTTTCTACAGCCTACTGATCAGTGTACCGATGGCTAGCTTTAAACATTTAATCAAATCTATACATTCATTGAGCTTTCATCCAGAATAATTTTTTGTTTTATTTTAAGTTACAGTTTTACAATGGTTGTTACCTTGCTTTGTTTGTCTCACAACTGTTTTTAATCATTGAAGGCCATAGATAGATATCCATGTTCTGTAGCAAACAATGTATTACTATATTATGCAAACTGTGATCTTGATCCTAGGACTCTTCATTATTACAGTGGGTACCTCGTGGAAAAATAAGTGTGCTTGATTGTATTGAATGTGCACTTGTAGTGCCAAAATCTTAAAAGTGTCTATTTTTTAAAAACTGTAAGTTTGTAGATAATATAATATTAATGAAACAAAAGGCCACTTAAGTGCCCTTAAAGAGAGACACTTTCATGACTGTTTCTTAACACACTTAAGTAGACTTTTAAAAAGTGTTAATATTGTCAAATTCAAAAGTTTTACTGTAAAGTACATTTGATGTGTTGACTGACAAAGCAGCACATGTGAAGTACTTGATTATAGTTAAAACTGTAGTATTCAATATCACATTTAAAGTTAATTTATTTTAAATGTCCTTATTCACACACATCTTAGTTTCAACAGAAATTACATTAAAGTGTATTTTAGTTTATCATAAATGCTTGTCAGTACATTCAGCAGTAACTTTAACCTTATTTCAAAGACAACCGAATTATTGTTAAATTACATATAAAGATGTACTTAAGTCCTACTCAAGTGGGTCAAAAAGCATTTAAATTGCATTTAATATAAACTTAAACTGTAATACATTGCAATTGAATTGCAACATGCAATAAAGTGTCTAGAAACATTACATTAATTTCACATTTAAGTATATTGTTTAAGTTATATTATTTCCGTAATGAGTACTCTTTTTAAAAAGTATGCGTGTGCTTTTTCACAAGGGGTTATTATACATTACATATTCCCCAGATTAAACCATCTTTATGACCTTTGGGCGGTTCCCTTAGAGTCTCTTTGCTTTATGAGAAATCAATCATCACTCTCGAGTGTACTACAGCAAATCACATAAACCGACGTCATCAATATAATAGCCTTCCACTGAAATACTCGGCATGATAAAAAGGAAAGCTGATTAGAATTACACCATTTATTTAGTTTCTCTCTGGGAAGCTCTGTGTCCTCCTCTGACTTTCTTTCTCGCATGATCTGCTGCGTACATCGTTTGTAAAATTCCCAGAGTTGACGCCAAGAGTTTAATCAGCCAAATTAGTTATGCAAATCTGGAACAAAAGGCCTCTTCATCCGTTCCAGGGTTTATGCAGCATTTGCTCAGGGTAGAGTTCATTTATTCAGTGCAGCATTGGGGCCGATCTCACTCAAAGAGCACTGATCGCCATGGTTGGCCCTCAAACTGTACAACCACCTTTCTAAATGTGCTGTGTGATGAATACTAAGCCAGTGAGAGGTGTGTCTGGGTATGGATATTCAGAGATATAGTCTAAAAGTTATGTCCCTCTCTCTCTTTTTAATGATACTTTTCACAACCTGTGCCGCTTGTACTGCACGCCTCATCCGCTGATGAACAGATGCTGCTCAGTCAGTGAGATAAGCTCTTGTAGATATTGTAATCAGAGATTTTATGGGTGGACCTGTTGGACTTTCATTTTACAACCGGTTACATATTAACTCTTTGGATGGATTTAACCTCAAGCATCATGAGTTACGAGAAAATATGTTAGGGTGGAATTTTAATTGCTGCTGCTGGGGACAAATGAGTCTGACAGGTGCCAAAGATTGTAGTTATTTTGCTGTTGCTTGATCTTATTTGTCTTAAAGTGCCCATTAACATGTTTATAATTATATTTTTGGGAGAAAATGTATACATTTACATGATTTAAAACGAATCGGTTACCTAACGTAACCTCGGTTCTCTCTAGAAGAGGGAACGAGTATTGCGTAAGCTAGCTTACGCTGCGGGAAAGATTCATCTTTGCTGAGATATTGAAGCCAAAAAATTATTTCATAATTTTGTATCCATACACAACGCAGTTCCTCTGCGGCAGACCTAGAGCGGGCTAGCTAGCAGCTCATTGGTTCGCTCAGAGAGAACTGCTTAAGCCTATGGGAGAGCGGGGCTGAACCCGCTTCCAATGAGAGGCGCCCGCGCGCTCATTGCGTCATGACCCGCCAGAATGGGCGTGGCCATGGTGTATATAAGGCGCTCTCCCAGGCTTATATGTTGATTTATTTCAGCGTGAAGCGAAACGCTAGTAGCGCAAGCACGGCCGGGAACGCAATACTCGTTCCCTCTTCTAGAGAGAACCGAGGTTACGTTAGGTAACCGATTCGTTCTCTTACGAG